GGTAGGGATCGCCCAATCGTGCCGAAACAATATCGACGCAACGTCTTCGATACGTTGCACAAACTTTTTCATCCAGGTGTTCGTGCAACCATCAAGCTTATAGCAGAACGGTTTTGCTGGCCTGGTATGAATAAAGACGTGAGGGAATGGGCACGCTCCTGTGTAAGCTGTGAGAAATCTAAGGTTATTAGGCATAACAAATGTCCCTTAGGCTCGTTTAAAACTCCCGATGCTCGCTTCGACCATGTTCATTTGGATTTGGTAGGACCTTTACCAGATTCAAATGGATATTCTTATCTTTTAACATGCGTAGACCGTTTTACTCGATGGTCAGAAGCAGTACCCATCAAAGATATTACTGCTGAAACAGTGGCCCGCGCCTTCGTCGAGAGGTGGGTAGCAAACTTCGGCTGCCCAACAACCATTACTACAGATCGTGGACGTCAGTTTGAATCTGAACTGTTCCGTTGTCTGACCATGAAACTAGGAATCACTCGCTTTCGAACGACGGCCTACCACCCACAAGCAAACGGTTTAGTAGAACGTTTTCACCGACAACTAAAAGCGTCACTATCAGCCTCAAACATTTCTCAGTGGACTGACGATCTTCCACTCGTCTTACTAGGCATACGCAATGCAGTGAAATCTGACATTGGATACACTGCGTCTCAACTCGTTTATGGTACGACCCTTCGACTTTCAGGAGAGTTCGTGGATCCTTCATCTTCTTCGATGGACATGGATCTAACCTCCTACGCGAACAAGCTTACAAACGCAATGCGTTCAGTTAAACCTGTTTCCACTCGACCACAATCAACTGATGTTTTCGTTCAACCTGACTTACTACATAGTACACACGTTTTCGTGCGTCGAGACTCGCATCGACAACCTCTCGAATCAACATATGAAGGACCCTTCAAAGTTCTTCAACGCGAATCTAAGTACTATATAATCGATAAGAACGGAACCAACGAAAGCATCAGTATCGATCGCCTCAAAGCAGCGTATTTGGAAGGAAATCCTATTCACGTCGATTTTCCTTCAATACAATCGCACGACACAACTCCTGCACTTATAATACCTCAATCGACAGCAGACACACATGTTGATACTTCGACAGTATCCGAAAATAAACTCAAAACAACGCGTTCTGGAAGAAGAGTAAGATTTCCAGAACACTTGAACGATTACTGCACGTAAGACACAAGTTAACATTTTATATCCTCACGATTTTCCCTGGTACTATATATATTTTTTATAAAAAAAAACCGAATTTAATGTGCTTATATATTTTTATTTTTTTTATTTTAAAAAAGAAAAAACAATAAGATAACGATATTATAAAAATCTTTTTTTACGCTATTACGTGAGCATGAGTTTGTTTTCCTTTTTTCGCCCGTTTTGTGTTCTCACGCGCGTACGAGTGTTTTCCGACATGCACTTACATATTTTTCTTTTTTTCCAGGACAACTGGAAAAGATGATGAAAAGAACGATGAAGTTGCGAGAAACGAAAATCTGCATTGTACCTTTTCTTTACTGTATTGTACATCATGGTCCATTATAGTAAGGAAAGGCGACCAGACGCTGCTAAACCTAGCAAGCTATCAGAAGAGTGTTTACCAACGAAAAACTCGTTGAGTTTAAACTTCTGGCTGGCCACGTCTTAGGGTCATCACTACCCCACTAGGGGGGGAGTTATCTGTAGCGGTAAATAATTCCCCAAAATCAAATAGCTCTGTAAGTTTTCGACATTGGATGCTGACCACAGTTTTAGTGGACTCATCTAGCTGAAGGCGCTCGGTCAAGCATCCGCACCAGATCACGTGTGGGAACGCCGTGCTCAACATCTGCCTCAATCGCTAGCCAGATTAGCGCAAACGATCCTCGATATATTGATAGCTTATCAAATATATCTTCGATCTCCTCACTTCTGTCTTTTGATTTTACTTGGTGGGTGCGCTTCGTATTAGAAGGTGTTACTGGTTAAAGCGTTGTCAAACTCCGAATACCTGTGGCATCTTTATTATTAATGAAACTCCAGTAAAGGTTTTTTGAAATTCTGTTCCATAAAGATGAATAAAGAATAATGAAGAAATTGTGATGTAAGTTTCTGTAGGCTTAAAATATCTATAAATTATTTTCCTTAATGTGTAGGTCGTGAGACGATGTAATAGAGTGCGAAGTGACGGATGTCTTACAGTAAGAAATCCCATTCATATTCTGGCAGATGAAGAAGAAGTTTAATTGTATAGAACGTTTTGAAATTTTGCTTGAAGTAAAGAATTATCATTAGTTGGTCAACGCCTTTTCGCTGGATAATTCCATCCGAAAGTTCCAAGTACGATGTTGAACATGAGCGTTTTGTTACGAACCCATGTTGAGAAGAGCTGATTAGACTTTCGAAAGTAAAAATGATAATAGCTATTTGTGGATGATTTTTGTCTATGATTCCTGATATTATGAAGGCTAAATTGATGAGTTTATAGTTAGCAATATCGCCAGGTGAATTGATTTTGAATTGGTTGAGAACTCAATTTCATACAAAATTCAAATAATGAAAGTATTGACAGGTCTGGGTCTTTGCTATCTTATTCCGTAATTCCAATGGTCGAAATATTCTTGTGTCGAGTTGAAATATTATTTTTGCTGAAGCCGTTTTGTTTTTAGACGTTACACCTTTAAGCATGCCAAATCGTGAAGGAAATCGTTTGGTTTCAAATTAGTTATCATAGGCTTTCTACCTTCACAAAGAAACCCCGTTGTTATACCCCTACTCTACAATAGTTTATGATGTTTCATCTGGAAAGCATAGGCCATTTGTAACATTGTCGTAAGAAGAGAGGAGTTTTTCTGACCTTCATGCTTTATCACAAGTTGGCATCCATGCCACCATGAAACTAGTATCAAAACAATTATTTTAGACTAAGATGAACAAAATATAATGCACCGGACAAGAAAATTCATAAGCAGACGATTACAACATCTTGAAATTTGTTCACTAGATCGTTCGGTAACCAAATGTAACATTTTCACTCACAATGTTATGTTAAAAGACCATTATAGTAGGTAGTCAATCCTAAATTTTATAGACGCAATCCAAGCGAAAACCACTTAGGTTTGCGTTGAAGCTGAAATTAGGTAGGTGTTTAGGGGATGTCCTGAAGTGTTAAATATGCTGTAAGCCATTAGAACGTCACCTATATGACGCCTGCACTTTAATGGTTACTGACGCTTTTGTAATGATAGAGAAGATACTGTTTCTGTAATCTGGACTGTGACAGATGAAACTTGAAGATTATGTGGAAAGTACTTCCGTCAAACTGGTCAAAAATGCGCCTCAATGTTACCAGTGTAAAGTTTGCTCGAAAGGCATTTTTATCACATTTAGCGTACGAATTCAAATCGTAGGGTACCGGCAGTCCTAAATCCTTTTCTACGCGGGATACTTCTAGAGGTTCCTTTCTTTATCTCTTCACTAAGCTCCATATTCCATTTGTTCTTCCTAAACTTTTCTCCGATTGGAAGTAGACCTATAGCTTATTAACCAGTAATTTCTTGAAAAATATACACATCCTACAAGAGTCGGGATTAATGTGTAGTTTGTGTGACTAAGTTAGTTAGTCGGTAGCAATGTTATGAAAACGCTCACTTTATCCATTACATTTCACTCCTTCATTGACTGGATAGAAGCTGTTCAGTTTTTTATATTGATAAGCATGTTCACATATTGACAAACTTCACGTTGAGTTTAACGCTTGAAATGTTATAAATAATAAAATTTCTAACAGACTGCTGAAAAAGGAAAACAAATTATACTGAAATCTATATACGTTAACCAGTGTCAGTGTAGCTGTCTCGATGACCTTATCAAAGACATATGAATAGATTCATTAGTCTGCCTTGGTTGGTCTTGTTAGTATTAGCTTGGTTCATTTTTGTCTACTTTGTCGCATATACCACCAGACGATAAGAAGACAAATGATAAAGCAAAACTCTTTCTATTGTTGTAAGCGATTGTGAAGCACTTGCAGCGGTCCTGTACTACTAAGGTAAACTCGATGCAAAATTGCGACCTGAGGCGGCTTTAATCAGTGGGGTACTATGAGAAAGGTTATGTAAATATTAGCGGGTGGTCCAACAACTATTGGAATTGTCTTCTGTATCTTGTATAATCAACATGTCAACACATTAAAACCACTCAGAATAACTGAAATTAAAATTTGCGAAGAGCTAAAGTGAAAATCCAAACGTTAGTTAAGGTAATACGGGGTGACGTTCATAAATAATACTCTTGGTTCCGTAAATATACTAGGCTAGTTCCTGATAACTCTGAAAAACCGTTTTGGAAGCGCTCTGCTGAAGTTTATTTATTCAGCAAGTAATTTTTATATGGCAGGTGGTTTCTGTTCTATTGTCGGTATGCAAAACAGGTTTCTATGATGTTACTGTAAAGTCCCCAGTCTCTGAAAACGTCTGATATGAATAGTCTAGCTACTCGGCCGACATAAATCCAGTATATTTCACAGTTATTCATAGGTCGCTATACCTTGGGTACAAAGAATGTTTTCATTCCAGGGCACTGGGGTTCCTAGGGACAGCAGCATTCTCTTCACAGGACTGCCGACTTGTTGCTTTCGCTGCAGAATAGTTTAGGACCCAGTTATGATACACAATACACTAAGTTTCAACAATGCCCTGTTGAAAAACACTACCATGATCTCGAGAAAACCCCAGGAAAATGGCATATCAAAGAGCGAAAACTCAGGTACACTTACACGTTTTATCAATAAGAGTTGTCACAACTTAGAATGAACCATCGCCTTCCACTTGGACTAGATGTGTTTAATATATGTCTCGTAACCTATCTACTGTCATCACTATCACATATCACCAACTTATTCTTTTCTTGTAAACTTTCATCTTTGTCTTGCAGGGTTCGCTAACAAAATTTGTTTAAACCATTCAAATAATTTACATTGTTGTTAGATTTACTAGACACAGTATTTAAATGGTATGAATTGTTACTAGTTCGTAATTTTAAGCTAGCACGCCTCATAGTTTTCTCTCTGTACTGACAATTATTATTGGTTCCCCCTTTTTTAATAGTAAGTGTTATTTACGTGCTTACTGAAATGTCGACTCACTTTTTCTCCTGTTATCTTTTTAAGTTGTTTTCACACACTCCCACACCATTCAAAGTACCTTCAGGCTAGACGCGAACATCTACAAAACCTCATTATTGTGAGGTGATGGACTTCAAGCAATTTCGTGATACTGCTGAACTTTCAGACTTCACAGTTTACATTGATAATGAGAGGTTTAAATTGCACAAATTCCCACTTTATACAAAGTCTGATTACTTCAAAGAAATAGCAAGCAGCAATCCTGTTTGTCAGATAAATGAATTTCCTGGCGGTTCGAAATCCTTTGCTGTCGTTGCCGATTTTTTTTACGGCAAAGAAATAAGCATTACTTCTGAGAACGTGGTTTATTTATATGCTGCAGCCGACCTCCTTAAAATGAAAGGCAAAGATAATTTACTCGAGATTTCTAGGAGATTTTTGGATGGAGTTTTTTCTTCTGCTTTGGAAAGAAAGGACATAGTTAATCTGATATGTGTTTTGTGTTCATCTTGTGAAATTAAATCGGATGTTGGTAAGAAAATTTGTGAGGACGCAACCACCATTTTAATGTCATTATGGCTACACAGGGAAAATAGTTCAAAAGGCTACTTTTCACCCCAAACCATAAATTTCACACATTCAGAACGAGAATTATTCAACGACGAGTCAGTATCTGATTACCTGGCTTATCTCCCATTGGAAATATTTTTGAAGATTATTAACATTGCAAGAGATCAGAACGTAGAGGAGAAGATTGTTTTAGATGCTTGTGCAAAGTACTTGGGTCGAGTCCTTGGTTTCTACGATCCAGAGGTCTCCGGAAACGGAGTATCTAAAACTTCAGATGCTCAGAAAAACACTGATACGAAAAACGTTCCATCTAAAGGTATTTGCATTTGTGTAACCTTCATTGCACCTAGAAGTTTCTAACTCAGGTGAAGATATTATTTCTGATCAACCATTTTGTGGTTTAAATGTAAAAATAAAGTTCGACCACCAGATAAGGTTGGAAAAGCTGTACAAAGATAATGTCGTCCTGTTTGAAAATTTAAAAAATACTATAGAACAGTTCGAGAAAATTTTTGAAACTCTGGATAAACCAATTGATATTTGTGGTTTTATTAACACCACTTGGATTGTTAAGGTAAAACTGTATTTTTTAACTTTATATTTAATAACATTCACATCTTAAAACTGCTCGAAACTAACATTAAAAGTCATAGTTATGACAATTTAGAAAAATACTTAGTCTTTTTTTCACTGATGGTAAACTATTATGAATATTATAACTTAAGGTTTAGGCCATCAAAGATAAGTAACAACTCTAAACTTATAAGAATGCTGCTTTAAGATAAGCAGATTTAGCATAACATCAATAAGATAAAAAATTTCTTTTTTAGCACTTTTGAGTAGTGTTTTGTGAAAATGAAACATTCAAAAGCTAACATTGCAAGTAGGATCCGAATGTTTGTAGAGGAAATATAATAGATTGATAATTATTCAAATATTTTTAGAATAAGGGTATCTTCTTTGCGATTTGCAAAGGCAATCTTTGGTTTCGGTGGATGTCTTTATAGTTTATGGTCGACTACAGCTATTAAAAATTCCCCGTATTGTCCTTGAGATGCAACGATTATCCAGCTAATATGTCATATCATGTTTGAAATGATGCTGTTTTATATCTTATGACCCATTAGTTTTTTTTGGCTTTTCAGGCATTACTATTGACAGATTCAAACAGAGCGAAGTCAAAGTGCCGACTGGATATTTTAAAAATAGCCAAGAGAATGCTTACTAGTTTTTCTGAGCAAGACTTCGATAAACTTTCACCTTCTATATTGAATGATATTCTCAATTCTGATAATATGCAAATAGAAAAGCCACCTTCAGATGAAGTTATCAGTCTTTCCAGGAGAAGCTCAAGAAGGAAAAGCTACAAAGAAGAGATCTTGGAAAACAATGCTACTGAAATACCTGGTAATCGTAAACAGAGCAATATTAAAGAAACAAATATTGAAGATGTTAGTGAAAATCATGGAAACACGAATGAGACAAAACATGAAATATTACCTGAATCAGTAGCAAATAAAATCATAAAATATATGTTAAAGAAAGCCGATGAGCAAAAGCTAACAATGCAGCAATATATTCAATTGCTAAAACAGATTCAAGCTCCAAATCATCAAACTTCTCTAGATAATGACTTTGTAAAAATCTTAATAAAACTTACTAAATCAGGTATGTTTTAATGTAAAGTCAAAGAGAAGATTATGTTTGAAAGTTTTCTGGTCACCGCTTTATGCCTCTATATTGTTACTTTCTCTCTTTAAGTGTTGGATAAACGCGATACTGTCCGGTGTTTTCTCATTTAGGTGTGGTTTATTGGGAATTGAAACATTAAAACACCCTAGTAAATGTCTTAACTGGTGTATGGGACAGTTTAAATATTACTTTTCAGAACTACTTATAACTGCAGCTTAAGATATAGCTTTTCAATGTCTGTAGGTTTATTTGCACCTCAGTATTCTAGAATAAGTGCTGCATAAATCAATAAGATAAACTGATCTATTGCTGTTTTCAAATCAGTCCAAAAGTTAAGAACATATTCTCTAAGTTTTTGGGTTATTTATGATGAAGGATTGATATAGTGAATTCCTTACAGTTATCCATCACCTTCCAATATTAACGACCAACTAGTTTAATTAAAAGATCTTTTAAATTCCTACTGTTTTTTAGGTCAACCTCGTAATGAAGAAGATGCTCAAGAGATAATGACCCATATTAATTTAAACAATTGCACAGCTGATACTTTAAATGATGCATTGGAATTGGATTTGTTTCCTCCTAAGACTGTTGCTGCAGCAGCACTGTATGTTGCTAACAAGAAGCAGGTATGTAAAGTTTTACCCTGTTTGGTATTGATTTGTTTTATAATTTACTGCTTTCAACGATTTATAGATTTTCATTTTCTTTAGTTTCATAATTTTTGTGTTTAAAGCATATAAGTCTTGGTGCAGTTGGTGAATGCACTAAATGTACCATAGAAATGAATAGATAGTATTGTAAAGAAGTGGAGAAACGTAGATAGTAAAATGAGTGAGTAACTTTCAAAATTGCAGCTAGATGCCATCCCAAGTTATTTCATATAACGTTTAAAGCCGCTGTGCTGTACAATCATGAAGATCCTAATTCGGGTGTTTTTCATCCATAGGTGGCAGGTCTATGCATCTGTGGACTGACCCAGTCTCCTCCATTTCCATACTCATAAGGCTTGCCAAAATCACCGGTGCCAGTTTGGTGGTTGTATGCTCTCACTTTGCCTGTGTTTTCTACACCAGTCTCTTGCTTTAATTTTACCTTATAAGCGTAACCACTATTATTAGGAACTCAAATGGTCAATGTTTTTTTCCTCTGGTACTTGAGGTTTCTGTATAAGCGCACATGAAGTAGTAAGCTTTTCAAATCGATGATAGAAAATGATTGTGTATTTTTGCACTAGAATACTGAATACGAGTCTCAGAAATATGGCATATGTTGATATTGTGATTTTTGAAAAAAAAAACAACAAAACATGTTTGTTGTCTGATCTACAACTATGTGTGAGCATTGAAGGAGGCAAATGTAATTGGCATAAGTGGCTTCAGAATAGTTGTATGAAGGAAGCAAGGAGAACATTTTTACATTAATAATGATGATATTTAGATACTGGTTAGTGAGATCCCATACTTTATCTTCAATATACGCTCATGTATTTACACTCTTAATACTTGGACAAAGGTAAATGAATGATATTCATGATTTCATTAATAATAATAATAATATTTAAACACCATCATCAAGTCGGTGGAAGTATTTATAGATAGTTGTCTTCGAAAGATAATGAACATCCATCGACCAGATACCATCAGCAACAACCTACTGTGTGAGAGAGAACAAACCAGTTTCCAGCTGAAGAAGAAATTAGGAAAATATGTTGAAAGTGGATAGGATTTACATTGAGGAGATTACCAAACTGTATCACGAGACAAGGTCTAATTTGAAATTATGAAGAGAAGCAGAAAAAAGGAAAATCAAAGAATACATTATGTTAGGAAATAGAAGCAGATATGAAAAGAATGAATAACAATTGGAAAGAACTAGAAAGGATTATTCATGACAGGGTTGGATGGAGAGTGCTAGTGGTTGGCCTATGCTCTTCCACGAAGAGTATTAGATCTAAGGAAAAAAGAATTAAGAATTGTAAAGTGATAATATTTCCAATTGGTTAGCTAATCGTTTGTCAATACATTAATTAAACTTCAATGTGATATATTAAACAAAAGTATAAAAGAAACCAATATGAAAATGAAGGTAAGAATCAATTACATGAAAATATTATCCGATAGTTGAATTAAGAAATAGATTAAATTCTATCGTATTATTTAATTCATTTAAAGGCTTATTATTACCTTCATAAAGATAGCATATAGCAAATCTAAATTTTGTAAATCATTCCAACAGGATAGTCTTGAGTACTATTAGAGGTGGTAGTTGACTGACTGACTGACTGACTGACTAACTGGAACTATTGCAAACATCTGTTGATGAACTTATTCAAGGATACAACATTCTTTTTATCTCAGTTGACGTTTTTTTTTATTTCAAACACCTTCTAAACCAACTCTTCTTACGAATTCAAGTCGAGTATAGACTATAAGGTGTTGTAGCGTGGTGTCGAGTTGAGCTTAACTATGAACACCGCTACAAGACTACGTGCCAATAGACCAATAAGATTCCGGTAGGCCAAAAATCAGAAGGCAGATGATAGTAGTAGTCGTAATATATTTGTTGGCAATCTCGTGGTATCGAAAGAATACCGAGATCGTGCCAAAGGAGTACAGGTGCGATCGGCAAGAAAAGATACGTGCGTAGTCGAAAACCGCGTAGAAGCAATGGAATACAATGGAAGACTAAAATGGCTGTTATTAGCACAGTTAGACAAACGAGCACAGTAAAACAGTCACTGGTACAATTGGTTATAATAATAATTGTTTTCATCGAACCAATCGCGTTCTGTTGACAAAAGTAGGTCACTACAGTGTATAAGAGAAATTCCAATTATGACAGTATCTTTTCTGATTATCACATATAAAATAGTTTTATATTTCTTGATAAACTTATAATAACTTTTGATAGAGTTTTGTTCTCTGAGCTGGATGGTTTGGTCGTGGAGCTTTCATTGTTCTTCTGAACGACATCATCAGCACAAACTTTGAACACTTCACTTCTATCTGAAGTTTATGCTGATGATGATATCGTTCAGAAGAACGATGAAAGCTTCACGACCAAATCATCCAATTCAGAGAACAAAACTTCATCAAAATCATCCAGTTGAACTACAAATCTTCTCTACTTATAATAACGTTTACTTTGAATAGGATAATCAAATCATCAATTCAAATCATCTTGAATATCCTTATACATGGTTACCTAATTATTATTATACAAAACCATTCATGTTACCATTACGTGGTAAACCTCAATGTACTACGGATCATCATCATTATCATTATAATAATAATAATAATAATAGTAATTCACATTATTCAAGATCATATTATCCTTCTTATCAGAAATCACGTAGTTCATCATTAAATAGAAATTTACAAACAGAATATAAACAGAATAGTTTCCATCCATATTTATTATCCTATTCTACTTTACAACCCTATTCATCAAATGAATTCAATTATTCTAATCATAATAGTAATGCTAATCATATGAAGTTCTCAGGTAAATATATCAGTATTGTGTTTATTAAGAGACCTTTATGTATATTCTCATATAAGAAATATCTTTATTGTAATTGTATATTTCTAACAATGACCATTTACACATCAATTTGAAAGTATTCATTAATAGGTGAACAAATCAGTCAATCAGTTAGCTACAACATAGAACTAGACGTTTATATGCATTGGTCTAAGTTACCATATCATATTAGTACAACAAGATGAATACAGGATTCATAGAATTGGTCAATTCAGTCATGGGAATATATAAAAGAAAGTTTGCATATAAGGAATTAATTGATAGAAAGAAAAAAAATATGAAGCGATTTTAATCTCATAATTTCAGGGAAGATAAAGAGTAGTATACACCTATGTACGGTATTGTGATCGATTGTGAGTCATGTCATTCACAAATTCTCCAACTATTGGTTACGATAGTCATGTAGACCTTAATCAAGTAGTCTGTATCTATCATCAATATGGGTAAGACTAGAAGTTAATGACTTCAAGGACTGATGCTACGTTTTGATTTGGTCACTTTTAATTTACTAATATGTGACAAATACTTTAATAGTAATAAATTCACTTGATTTTATTTACTTGTATCAAATGTGACTATTTCCGATTACTGCTTACACTGTTACTACCTCTACCATTGTAGGATTTGGATCAACAACTGCTTGTCTGTGCTAATTTGGTATGACAACTTGAATTGATGTTTGTACATACGAAGTTCTACGTTGTTGTTGTTGTTGTTGACAGACTGAATGTTTGAGTTACGTCACAGAAGATAGTTAACTCATCGTATGTAAAGGTGTTTATCATCAGATAGAAACAGACTATACAAAGTATTGTGTATGATATCATTGGAAATATACTGTTTAGAACATACCAATCACTCATATGATAAATTGTTGTTGTTAGTAAATGTATATATGCAAGTAAAAGTGTAGAATAAACTTGAAGTTGATGAATTAGACCACTTTAATTTAGATTTAATACATACGAGGATAGTATTTAAACTGGTACATCAGAAACTTGCATAAAACTCCTTAAAAAGGTTATTGTAACGTATCTCTTTTGAGTATATACAGTGAAACTTCATGAGTTGAGATGACTGGGACATATTTTACGTATGCGCAACCACCGACTGCCCCGACGTGCGATGTTTTATGATGTAAGAGTAGGTTGAAAAAAACATAGAGGCGGCTAGACCAAAACATGGCACAAATCCATGAAGTCATTAACAAGTGGATGGAGTCATGTTGGTAGGTGTAGACTATCGGTTTGGGGATTCGCAAGATGATAGAAATCGATGGTTAGAGAATTAGAAAGTGACTTATTAAAAATCTTACTGATAAACATAAACTCTGAACAAAAAATATCTAAGAATGATCTATTTATTGGATTCTATCTGATTTATATTTCACAAAAGGTTTTTCTAAATATTATGATAATTTGAATAGTTGAGATCATGAGTCGATTGAAGCTAGAACACTACAAAAAACCTGGAAGCACTGGATGGCCGTTTCATCCTAATAAGGGACTGCTCAAAAATGCACATCTACAATCTAACCTCACGAGTTTTGAAATTCATAACCTATCAGTCTTGCGTGCAAACGCTTAACCTCTAGTCCATTACGTCATCCAGCATTCAACAATGTTAATATTATTTAACTTCAACTAATTCATTATCATCAATGAGTTACTATTTCACAACAGATCCAATTGAACTCTACTAATCACGGTTTCTCAATAGAATTCCAGGTAAAAACCTCTTAGAGACCGTCACTAGTGAGCATTTATTAATCAATCAATCAATTTATTTATATTTGAAGGGGTTTTGTCAAGATTGTAGTTATTTCAATGATTAAGGTCATAAGTCAATTGATGTTAGACCACCATTGAAAACCTGAAAGCACTAGACGGCCGTTTCGTCCTATTATCGGACTCCTCAGCAATGTGCATCCACGACCTCGGCCCCTGTGAGATTTTTCTTTAAAAACTGCTTTTATAATCAATATTTTATTGATTTTTTTCTTTTTCCTTTGTTTCCCTTTTTTCCATTAGATTCATTTAATAATCCTAATTATCTTTCAAGAACTATACCCCATAATAGAAGATACTGTGAATATTCTACATAATTAATAATAATAATAATAATAATAATAATAATAATAATAATAATAATGGGAATTATTATTATTTTTTTTATTTCACAACAAAACAAAAATCAATGATGAATTTAACGAAATCAATATTAATCAATAATAGAAACATTTATTTTTAGTTTTCTCTTTTTTAATTTTTCTTTTTTCTTTTTCTCTTTCTTCTTTTATCTTTTATCTTTTTTCTTTTCATTTTGTATATAGGGTAATTTTAATCCTTTTTAATTGAATGAAATTATATATTATGTTTTTATTGATTAGTTTCTATGATCAAGCATCTTTTCTTTTTTTCTTTCTTTTTTTTTGTTTTTTTCTTTCTTTTTTTCTCTTTTATCAAATAGATTCTATTTATTCTATAACGTATATTAGATTATTCTTTTTTCTTTCTTTTTTTCTTTTTATTGTTGTTGTTGTTGTTGTTGTTGTTGTTGAAAGGTTCTTAATCATATAGAAACTTATCTTTTATTATAGTTAATTTATACAAACAAACAAATTTATTATTTTTTTAAAAAAATAATTAAAGTTTAGTTAAATGATTGAATTTAATTATAATAATCAATCATAATAATAATAATAATAATGATTGTTTTGTATTTTATATTAATGAATTGAAGGGTTCGAGCTAACAAGCAATCATATTCATTATGAATTATACAATTTCTGAGTATGTAGGGTCTGGTGATGCTTATATGTTTTCAGCATGTTTCATCTACAATAATAGTGTTAAGCATTACTTACTTACGCCTAATACTCCCAATGGAGCATAGGCCGCCAACCAGCATTCTCCATTCCACTCTGTCCTGGGCCTTCTTTTCTAGTTCCATCCAATTCTTGTTTATTTTTCTCATGTCTATCTCCATTTCCTGACGTAATGTGTTCTTTGGTCTTCCTCTTTTCTTTTGGCCTTGAGGATTCCATGTGAGAGCTTGCCGTGCGATTCAGTTGATTGCTTTCCTCAATCAGTGTCTTATTCATTTTCAACACTTCTTCCTGATTTCTTCTTCCACTGGAATCTGGTTTGTTCTCTCCCATAATAGGTTGTTGCTGATAGTGTCTGGTCAACGGATCTGAAGTATTTTGCGTAGATAACTGTTAATAAACACCTGTATCTTCTGGAGGATGGCTTTCGAAGTTGTCCAAGTTTCTGTGTCATACAGTACAACTGTCTCGACATTTGCATTGAAAATCCCGACTTTGATGTTGGTTTCCAAATGTTTTAAGTTCCAGATGTTCTTCAGTTGTAAATATGCTGCTCTTGCTTTCAAGATCCGCGCCTTTACATCTTCATCCGATCCACCGTGTTCATCAATGATGCTGCTCATATATGTGAAGGTTTTTACATCTTCCAAATCTTCTCGGTCAATTGTGATTGGATTGGTGCATGCTGTGTTGTATCGGAGAATCTTGCTTTTCCCTTTGTGTATATTGAGAACTACTGCTGCTGAAGCTGCTACAGTGTTAAGCATTATTATTGAGTTATTTGAACCTCTTGTTCAATAGAACACCAGACACCTTGAGAACTACATAATCATAACATAGGTTTTTAATAATCAGTGGTCAATCCAAGGACAAATAAGTTTTTGATAATATCTCATAGTGTGAAATTTCGTGGTGCGAATATGGTTCCTACACAGATTATCTTTGTTTAAACTCTAACTCCAATGTGTTAAAGAGTACCAGCTAAAACAAAAACTTGGGATTCTGGCCTCCTGTTGACTGTTTTAAATCCCATAACACCAGACATAATGTATACGATGTTAATTCACTTAGAATATTGGAAATTTGAGTTTGATCAGCAGTAACACCAAACAAACATGAAATTTCCATAGTTTGAATCACGTGCAGAGACTGCTGCTACACTATCTGTTTTTATCTGCATTCGTTCGTGTGTATGCAGTAGGAAGGCTAGGTCATCTGCGAAGTCCAAATCGTCTAATTGATTCTGAGTTGTCCATTGTATAACGTGTTTTCCCTCAGATGTCAAAATCTTCATAATCCAGTCGACCACCAGAAGAAAGAGGAAGGGAGAGAGTAGATAGCCTTCTCTACATGGAAGAAATAAACAACTTTTTTTTTTTAGCATGCAACATCTCAGCAATGAGCATCTACAATCCAGAATTCAGGAATCAAATCTAGGACAATCTACAGTCATCACTGATAGTTTAGAATTTAATAATGTTTAAATATTTGCCATTTTCAGTGAATTCAATCTTTACAATATCAACCTTAAGTCAATTTAATGAATCTGACATGAATTGGATGGAGTTCGTTAGTCAGTGTGTAATCTTAAAATAATTACAATTATTGTCTCTATAACATAATGCCTCTATGAATAGGGTGACAATCTACATTGGAACATAATATATCTTCTAACTGTATGCTTCAACTGGTTTCCTAAACTCGATTAATATCCCCAAGTTAACTCTACACAACGATTTGAGCATGGAAGAAATGACATGTAATGCTGGAAGTACACCTTACTCTAAAGTTAGTTTATGTACAGAAAATTGACAGTATGTGTAGCATTTCAAACGGCTTTAAACTTCTGGAAAGTTTCGGAACTGTAAGAAACAAAGTAGCAGAATAGATAATCATCCAATCAAATACATAACATATGACGTTTTATTTTTCAGATGTTTTTCTGAAACACTTCTATCAACGCTTACTGAATAAAATGTTCTCCATAGTTTTCAGGGCGCCGTTAGGCTTTTTTACTTGGAGGAATTTTCACGGTCTCCGCAACAGAATAAAACATGTTTTTAGAGATAACTCGAAATATTTTACCATCCATCCATTAAAAATAAAAACATATTTCTCAAAGAACCATTCAGCTAGAAAATCCATATCATAATCACCTGAGCATAAGTAATGAATATCATACAATATACAACAGTATCAAGACTTATAGAATATAACAACATACAGGAACTTGTAACGGAATGTTTTAATTGCCATCTTCAAAGGTATCTATTTTACTACAATTATTTACACATTTAGTTTTACCACTTTTAGTCTCGAAAGCCTATTGGTTAACGACCAGCTTCATTTTAGTTCACTAGTTCTAATTGATGTCTTTAAATAGATTCTAATGAATAGAAAAAAAAATCCTATTTCTGATGTTTCGTGACTTAATATAAGACACTTTGATGTGAACAGAGAAACAAGAAGTCTTGACAAACTATGGAAGCTATTTTTCCGGATGTTTATTCATTTTATTCAAAGCTTGTAAAACATTAACCATTACTTTTGTTCCTAGTCTATTCTACAGAATATAAGCTTTCGTTTGATGTATGATTCACTGCAATAGACCATTTTGTTCCAAAGCTATTGCAAGTTGAACGTATTATTTTGTTCTCTATTTTCTACGCTAATCCCTAGTTTTGAACATAATTGTATTTTTCCTAATTATCAGAAGAGGTTTTGTGGAGGTTTTAGTAATTTCAAATAATTGAAATCATGAGTCAATTGAAGCTAGACCATCATGGAAAACCTGGAAGTAATAGACGGCCATTTCGTCCTAGTATAGGATTCCTCAGCAGTGTGCATCTATGATCCCGAATCGCTGGATTCAATCCCAGAATCTATCAGTCTCGCACGCAAGCGCTTTACCATTGTTGTGAGTTGTAGTTGGGTTAGTCATCTAAATATTCATGTATCTTTTTACACTGATCTGAAATCGCGAACCAGATTGGAATTAAGAATAAATCATGTAGTGTTCGAGTTGTCTTGTCTTCTCTCTCTCACTCGTGTGCTTGTCAGGTAATTAGTTTATAGAATAGTTTTCTTTTCGCTACCCGACTTCGATCTCACACGTACTAGCCTCAAGGTTAAGCCGGCCAGCCTACCGCATCAAGGTCCTAATCTAGATTAGATAAGTTATCCTCAGCACCAAAAGTTGGTAGACAAATCAAGAACGTAACATACTTCTTCAGAATAAATAAATAAACTTGTAATTTCAATGGTTGAGATCATGAGTCAGTTGAAGCTCACTAGTGACTAGTTTCAAGAGATATTTCATGAAGTTCTAGTGAGAAGCAGTGACTAGTGGAGTTCAACCAGGTCTGTTGTGAGATATGAACTCACTGAAGACAATGATGTACAGTAGTGCAACTTTCTGAATTAGTTGAAGTTAGACATTCACACCGTTGCATATCGGCCAGTTGTGATCTCATGGTTAAGCGCTCTTTCGTGAAACTGATAGATACTGGGTTCGAATCTCGCTGGCGGGGGGGGGCGGGATCGTAGATGCGCACTGCTGAGGAATCCCATATTAAGACGAAACGGCCGTTCAGTACTTCCAGGTTTTCCATGGTGGTCTAAATTCAATTGATTCATGATTTCAACTAGTGATATTTCTAAAATGTCCACACAACCCCTTCTGATTATAACAGTAATAGTCAGTAATAATAATCATTATGTGCCATTTTTATCTAATTACAATCCAAACAACAGAATAATAATCATAATTCTCTAAATAAATTACATTCATAATAATAATAATAATAATAATAATAATAATAAGTGTTGTATTCTACATTGATGATTTAAAGGATTCGAGCTAATAACCATTCATTCATTAAATAGAAAGACATTTGTTAATCATCATAATCATAATCATAAAAAATAATAATAATAATAATAATAATAATAATAATTAAAATCATATTCACTATGTATATGTAAACAAACAAAGAACCTACTAAACAAAAAGATTGAACTCAAGAACATTTGTAAATGATTTAAGACATCAACCCTGCCCCCCCCCATCTACCCCCCCCGAACAAGGTAGAAAATTCAATGAGCAAATGGAATGTTTTTTTCTCTCTTTCTTTCTTTCTTTGTTAACTGGTTGGTTGGTTGGTTCGTTGGATTGATTTGAAGAAAAACACATTTACATCTGAGTTCATGTTGAGCATAAATATGAAAATTTTATGTTTTTTTTCTTCTATTAAACTATTTTATACATACATACGTACATACATACATACATACCATTTTCTACAATAAAATAAAATGAATACAGTTTTCTTATTCTTTTTAATAAAAAAAAAGAAAAGAAAAGAAAAAAAAGAAAAAGAAAATAACAATGAATACACTAATTCATAGAAAAGTAAGTGAGAACGTGGGAGGGGAGAGGGGGGGGTAGGGTGAGATAGATGATTATGTTCTTTTTTTCATTTTATCTTTGTTTATTTGTTTGTTTGGACATATCAATTCAAATGATGAATAAAAATGCCTTAAAAACAAACAAAACAACAGAAAGTAGAAATTAGACAATATACATATTATTGGGTTACTGTATTATTATTATTATTATTATTATTATTATGATTATTATTATCAGTATTTTTAATAGTACTGGTGTGATGTGTACTACTTATATCGATATAAGTAGTATATGTATAACGCTAGTTATGAATAGAATGTCTGGCAGCAGAAGATCGAAGAAGAAAGAACAGGAATAGAACGTAATTGATATAGTAGTGAGGGTATAATGAAGTCTGACATAGTTGATTAACAATTTGCAAATAAAATATTTATTATATTGATGTTTAGATTTTATTAAGTTGTTCTGTGATTTTTTGTGTTCACAAACATTCAGCAGTACGAATTCATGATACTGTTACGAGAGATTCAAACCTAGAATCTATCAGTTTCGTGCGCAAATGTTTAACCTCTAGACAACTGAGCCTGTTGTCTAGCTTCAATTGACTTATCATTTGAACTAATAAAATATTATAATATCCACAAAACCCCCTATGTGATATTAACTAACATATGCTCACTGGTCACTGGTTTCAAGAGATATATCCTGGAGTTGTAGTGAGAAGCAGTGATCAGTGAAGTTCAATCGGATCTGTTTTGAGATAGTCATTCACTAAGGATGATCGTAGATATTTTGCTCAAATTCGTGGATTAGTTAAAGTTAGAAATTAACATTGTTAGATACCGGCTGGCTCAGTAGTCTAGAGGTTAAGCGTTTGAGCGCAACACTAATAGGTTCTGGGTATGAATCTTCACGATTCATGATCGTAGATCCACGCTGTTGAAGAGTTCCATCATAGGACTAGTTGATTGTTCCTTTATTTCATCCATTTCTATACCGGTTAACATGTAGAATTGGTGTATAGGTAATAACTGTGCTTTTGTAGGATATATCAAATATGTTAATTGATCAAAGCTTATGATGATATCATTCTACCCTAGCATTAAATATTCTTTACACCGTGTATGAACAATTCATTAAAGGATATTTGTAACCTATTTAATACATTCTAATCTTGTAGATCATGTTTTTCATTTATAAAATAATATAGAATGAATTACTAAGTACTATGAGATGGTGGAGAAGATTTGTAGCTCAGGTGGATGATTTTGATGGAGTTTTGTTCTCTGAGCTGGATGGTTTAGTCGTGGAGCTTTCATCGTTCTTCTGAACGACATCATCAGCACAAACTTCGAACACTTCACTTCTATCTGAAGTTTGTGCTGATGATGTCGTTCAGAAGAACGATGACAGCTCCACGACCAAACCATGCAGCTCAGAGAATAAAACTCCATCAAAAACTAAGTACTATACTCATATTGATATCTGATCTTGTTGGGGTATTCAGAAAATACCCTAGAAATTATCTAGTGCTATTCCTGAATGAGAAATAATAGTGTCATTTCCCCATTGGTCAACATTCTTCCAACGTGTCATTTCCTGAAGGTTAAATCTTGTACAAATGTTATTTTCTATTTTATGGTACGTTGTGGTCTGTTTGACTGCTATATAAACAGAGTATATTCGAAATATAATGATTTATATTGCAGAGGCTGAGACTTGTGTTCTGGACTCAATTGGCATGGCCAATCAGGACTCTAGGCTGCTCGCTCGTATCTATGCGTCACTGTATCGATCGATAATACGCTGCTCTCTAATAAGCGGATCACACGTTATAACAGATCTGAATCATAGTTGAGACAACTTCAATGAAAATTTAGCATGTTTCTTATTAATTTATTCCAATTTAATTAGGATAGTAACATAAATGAATATTGAAGGTGGTTGGTTACTTGTTTATGATCAAACTACATATTGATATAGATCAGTCCTTAAATTGATGTATCACATTTCAATGTAATATAATACATCATATGAATTTTGTTTATGTTTATATAGGATGTTAAGAAGATTATTGACATTCCTCAGTAGTATTATGCAACAGAATTATATCATTCTAACAATGAATATACTACTCACAACAATTGTCTCATATATGAAAAGATACTTTTAATTGATATTCAATTCTTTTAACGATTTACTATGACTAATGGTTAAAATGATATTAACGGTTGACGAATTAGTGTAAAGCAAGTGATAAAACAGATACGCAGTAGGTTAAGTGTTCACGCGTGAAACTGAAAACCCTGCGTTCGAATCCCTTAAGCGGGATCGTAGATGTGCACCACTGAAAAGTCCCACAATAAGATAAAATGACCATTCAGTGCTTCCATATAGTTTAGTGTAGTACATAATCAGTATGCAAAATGAATTATTAAACATCAAGTGAATGATTTATTATTACCCAAAGAAACTACAGTAAATAAAAAACCTGTTTTTATTCATCTCAAATTCAAAGGTGATAATGTCACAGGGTCAATCAATATGAGACTAAACACTGCATTGACAAAAACATATCCTGCAGCTAAATTGATTGTTCTGTCCAAAACAACATGTTCTTTGACACAATCAAAGGTCGACAGGTATCCCTTTCATGTTACCACCAACGGTGTATACAAATTTACATGTATCTGTCAAACCAATTACATTGGTAGAACAGAAAGGAGAGCCTACGTCCGATTCAAAGAACATATTCTGAAGGGTTTGAGATCAAACGGACCAAAAACATTAAGCAGTGCTATCGCAAGACATCTCCTTGACACAGGACACGAAATCGATATACTGAAGTCCTTCAAGGTGATCAACAAACAATCAAATTCCAACCTTTTAAAATTTTCCGAAGCGATAGCAATCGAACGTTTAAAACCAAATCTGTGTACACAAAAAGAAACAGTAATAAATCTTTCTTTACCCTGGTAACATTACCGCCCCCCTTTTATTTATTACGTCATCCCAACTCTTTCCAAAAAATTTTATAATTACATAATTCATAACTGATTTCAATTCACATCTCTCTTTATTATCATTCATCTATTTCAGTTACTTCATTACATAATCATCTAATGTGTTTTAATTCCATGAGTTCTAATCACTATTTCAATGTTCTGGAACCTTCCCTCCCAAACTCTATATATATTCGAAACAAAAAAAAATTTTATAACCTCATTATCTCTAACAGCATCTTTGCTACATCATGTTACTTATATTCATCCTTCATCACCCTCTTATGTCTAAGTATGTCAATATCTGTAATAACCTTGATATTCGAATATTTTAAGTTGTAAGCAACTGATGAGAACCTAACGAAATAAAAAATGAATTCATATTATTCTTTTGCACCAACTTTTGTTCTTGCTCTCTTTAATATAATGATTGTTCCATATTGTGAATTAATACAAGTTAAACATGAACAATATTGAATTCTATGTTACTAGTCTAGAAATGAAACATTTATACGAAATCAAAAGTTTATGGTTCGATACTTAGGCAGGGAAGGGTGTGTGCGTGTGTGTGTGGAGGATGATTACTATTCAGTAGTCCTGTTTTTGATGGAGTTTTGTTCTCTGAGCTCAAAGAATAAAACTCCATCAAAATCATCATCTACGTGAACTACAAATCTTTTGCACCGTTCCACTGTTGCTACCTTGACGTGGTGGTCGGGCTTGCCTATCGTGATGAAGCAACTGAACTATACTGGCTGGAACAACCGTTCCTCAAGGTACTACCATGCCAGACAGGTCGGTTGAAGAGCGGTAAGACTAAAAGCAACAAAACCAAGGTTCGAAGGCGAAGTCTGACTGCTGACTGTACAGAGGTGTGACAGCAGTAAGGTGTTTCCTTCAGACAACCACCATAACAGCGATGCTGCCTTCCTAAAAGGAGGGGTGAGGTTAAAATTGGTCGACCCTAAAAATGCACACCTCGCCTTATCCCACGGATATCCATCTCCGGCGGTAGGGTCCCAACAAGTACGGAGCTAACACAAAAGTTACTCATAAAAAGGTCGTGTGTGACCGACCTCAAGAAGCTGTCCCTTGGGCACTGCGGTCACGCTCTCAGGTCACTATGACCACCTCTAATCCAATTTCCTTTTCAGGTACCTCCAGCAGAACCCTTCCACGGTGTGGGCAACCGGGAAGTCATAACCGCCCTTATACCTCTAACAGCACTCAAGACCACTGACTGACCATCTCAGTAATCCTGTACTAGAACAAAACGATCATTTCTATTGATGATCTATTATTGATCGGTTCATGATTTCTATACAATATGATACATATTCAAAGATCATAAAAACAATAAAAGATCATTATTTATGTTTATACAAAGAAAAAAATAATAAACATTTCTCATATAAATTAATTACCATTGTATCATTGAAAGTTCTATTCTAATATATATTATTTTAATAATTGAATTTTGATAAATCTTCATTTATATTTAATAAAATAGGTTTAGGTGCTGGTGGAGGTGGTGGTGATGATGATGATGATGAGGAGGAGGAGGATGGTGGTGACAATGCGGATGGTGATGATGGTGCTGTTAAATGTTTTAATGGAAGATTAAGATGTGACCAATCTTTATCAATTGATTTATAATTCATCATTGATTCATTTAAATCATTCATAACTAGCTACATAAAAAACAAACAAAATAATAAAAATGAGATTAATATCATTAGAAATAAACAAATTATATTAAAATGTTAGGGATTTAATATTATCACGAGTTCACTTAATCTGTGAACGACAAACAACACTCAATGACTAAAGACCAGTAAGTTAGCTATTGATACGTTCCAGTTCCGCTATCTAAAAGGAGAAGTCCAAGCTTAGAATAGGAAGTATATTCTACAACAGCCAGATAACGAGCAAGAACCAAAAAAACACAATTTAAAATATACATATCGATATTACCATGGAGCTTTTAAACATTGAATCGATAAATTCGTCAATTGACTATGTACATGGGTAATAAGAAATGCCCACGTATACATCTACATACAAGCTCCACAAGATAAAATTACAAACTATGAGTTTTTTGGGGATCTATCGTCCCCAACATAAACTTACTATGAAAATAAATAAAGAAAGAAATAAGTTTCAAGTAAACTATTTGAATATCTTGACTATCTGTTTCCTGTTATTGAGATATTTTTACACAAAGTGTGAACGCACCTGCATCTATGCTAACGATTTTGAGCCATGTCACAATCAAGATCTCTAATCATCGGTTGTTATCGTCTCACGGATCCCAACTAGTTAGTTTATATCTACCAACATAACTCAGTCCACTTGTCGATCACTTCATGGATTTGTGTCACGTTTTCGTATGTATAACGATAAATAAATCTTCAAAATAAGTAGTTCTTTAAGTCTTTGAAATTGATTCTGACCTTATTAATTTTACTAGACAAATTTTAGCTGAAGGCTCTTGGTTATGCATTCTCATAAGATTATTATTGGGTACACCGGATTAAGTATTCCCTAGCAACAACTAGTCAGTTTAGATCACACACACACACACACACACTTCTCAACTTATTGACTATCTTTCAAAAATAGATCTTTGTACTTCATTATTTCTGACTTCTAGTTTGATTGTGTTTAGAATCCTTCACTTATAAAGTTGCTATGAACAACAACGTTTTCAAACTCTGAATATTCAAGACATCTTTATTGATATTTTATAGGAAATTTAGACTTCTCCTAAAGTAAATCAATATCATTTCATTATATAGCATGCCATATGAATAAGATTGTGTTCATTTTGTCAATGGCATTTAGTGAGACTATAATTTATGGATGAACCAATCAGGTATAAGATAACAGGTCTCTGGGATTTTGGCGCGAAATTCATTCATCCGTTGAGCTAAATAGTGTTTTGGCATTATAGATGATGTTAGTTTGTAATGAAAACTCTAGATCTAATTCCTAATGTTAACCATCAACTGTAAATCATAATTCCGGTTCTTTACCATGGTTTATAATCCTCATTTAACCCTAGTAATTAGATAGACACTCTCCGGGTCAGTTTAACGTTGCTGAAAGGTCGTCCATAAATTATACTCTTATCGAATTTTTCTAGCTGAATGGTTCTTTGAGAAATATGTTTTTATTTTTAATGGAAAGGATGGTAAAATATTTCGAGGTATCACTAAAAACATGTTTTATTCTGTTGCGGAGACCGTGAAAATTCCTCCAGGTAAAAAAGCCTAACGGCGCCCTGAAAACTATGGAGAACATTTTATTCAGTAAGCGTTGATAGAAGTGTTTCAGAAAAACATCTGAAAAATAAAACGTCATATGTTATGTATTTGATTAGATGATTATCTATTCTGCTACTTTGTTTCTTAGAGTTCCGAAACTTTCCAGAAGTTTAAGGCCGTTTGAAATGCTACACATACTGTCAATTTTCTGTACATAAACTAACTTTAGAGTAAGGTGTACTTCCAGCATTACATGTCATTTCTTCCATGCTCAAATCGTTGTGTAGAGTTAACTTGGGGATATTAATTGAGTTTAGGAAACCAGTTCAAGCATACAGTTAGAAGATATATTATGTTCCAATGTAGATTGTCACCCTATTCATAGAGGCATTATGTTATAGAGACAATAATTGTAATTATTTTAAGATTACACACTGACTAACGAACTCCATCCAATTCATGTCAGATTCATTAAATTGACTTAAGGTTGATATTGTAAAGATTGAATTCACTGAAAATGGAGAATAGTCGAAGATTATTAAATTCTAAACTATCAGTGATGCAACATCAATATGGACTGGTTACTGAATGTCAACCAGTTTCAGATTTTAAATATAGAGGGGATTGTGAAGACTGTAGATTGTCCTAGATTTGATTCCTGAATGCTGGATTGTAGATGCTCATTGCTGAGATGTTGCATGCTAAGAAAAAAATTGCTGTTGATTTCTTTCTTGTAGACAAGGCTATCTACTCTCTCCCTTCCTCTTTCTTCTGGTGGTCGACTGGATTATGAAGATTTCGACATTTGAGGGAAAACACGGCATTCAATGGACAGCTCAGAACCAATTAGACGGTTTGGACTTCGCAGATGACCTAGCCCTCCTATCGCATACACACAAACAAATGCAGATAAAGACAGATAGTGTAGTAGCAGTCTCTGTATCAGTAGGCCTCATTATACACGAGGGGAAAACCAAGGTTCTCAAATACATCGTAGAGAACAGCAATCCAATCATTCTTGATGGCGAAACTCTGGAAGATGTGGAATCCTTCACATACCTGGGGAGCATCATCGATGAACAAGGGGGATCAGATGCAGACGTGAAGGCGAGGATCGGCAAAACATGGGCCGCTTTCCTTCAATTAAAGAACATAAGGAACTCAAAACAACTGTTTATCAACCAATATCAAAGTCAGAATCTTCAATACCAACATCAAGGTAGTTCTACTGAACGAAGAAGAAACGTGGAGAACTACAATAACTATCATCAAGAAGGTACAATTATTTATCAATAGTTGTCTACGTATGATACTCAACATCCATTGGCCGGATACAGTTAGCAACAGCCTTCTGTGAGAGAGAATGAACCAGCTTCCAGTTGAATATGAAAGTAGGAAAAGTCTATGGAAACAGATAGGACATACATTACGCAAATTATCAAACTGCACCACGAGACAAGCGCTAAATTGGAATCCTGAAGGGAAGCGGAAAAAAGGAAGGCTATAGAACACATTATGTCGAGTAATAGAATCAGATTCGAAAAGGATGAATATCAACTGGAAAAAGCTAGAAAGGATTGCTCATGACAGGGTTGGATGGAGAATGCCAGTGAGCGGCCTATGCTCCTTCGCGAGGAATAACATGTATAAATAGGTAAGTAAGTAAGTAAGTAAGTAAGTAAGTAAAGTTTTTTAACCATAGTTTAGTTAACAAGTTATTCTATTGAAATCTAAAGGTACTATATTCTTACTGATATTTTCAAGTTCATTAGAACTATCACAATTGAGTATATAATGATATATATGTAAATAACAAACCTGATTTAACCAATTTTGTCTTGGAGTTGTTGGTTGTTTTACATACATTTGAGATAATTCTTTATTTATTCCAATAGATCCTATATTATTATACTTTGAAGAGGATAGATTAGTTTGAGGAAATGATGAATAATATACAGATGGATTAGGTGCAGGACCATGTGGATCAATAGTTGGTGGTTGATATACAATCACAGTAGTATCATCATGGTTTCGAGATTTTTCATTTTTTTCTGGTATACTCATAAAATCGGATGTTGTATTATTCATCTAAAATGGTACAATCAAATAGATCATTGAATATATTCATTTGTTGTCAAGTAAATAATTTACTCTAGTCAAATGTTTAAATTCTCTTCTCTTTGTTTCTAGAGAACCCTTTATTATTTGATAAAATAAATAAATTTTACATAGTAACCATAGATACATAGTAGCTGGCAGTGTAATCTAAGATGCATGCTTCATCCCATTGAAGAATCATCAGCTGAATATATATCAAATTTTTTATTTATTTGAACACATAAATATTGTTACAAGAGGGCACCAAATATATATGCGTTACACAAATTTTCATTTTATTTGTGTGTGGGCTGTAATACTGCTCGGGTGCCCAGACCGAAGTAGGTGGTTTTCTTAGAGGGACACACTCCGAGCCTTCGACCTAAACGTCTGATCCACAAGGCAGTGGAGCATCGTGAGGAGATTCAGTCCCATGGTAGCCGGTGACCAACGATTGGTTCATACACCATTGGTTCCTTCAGGATACTGGAGCTCATGTGCATCATTGGTTTGGGATCCGGTTAAAGCGCCGGACATTCGCTTTTCTTCCTCTCATTTTCGTAAACAACACCTGTGTCAAGTAAACAATACCAAGTGAATCTAGAACAAAGTAGTTATACAGTATTTCTTCTTCGATCTTCCTATTGATGTGCAGGACTATACTTGATTAGTCTGGATTCCACTGCTAACCACCATCCATCTTTGCTTAAAATGATTGTAATTTAAGGCAATATTGAGGTGATTCGTATAGGATGTATATATACTAATAAGAGAGACTGATCGATTTCAGTCCTAAACATGAATGAGAAGATTCAAGTAAACAACAATATTAAGTGAATATGATTATATTGTTTAGAATATTCCATTACTGTTTCCAATATAACACAGAATTCATTACATTACTGTATTATAATCATTAATTCTACAAATAAGCTATATGCTTATGTAAAGCTGAAGGTCTCATATGAGATTGGAGGTTCGCCATTGATATTCTGGATGACTCGGCATTACTTTGGTAGATTTTTCTGACTGTTCATGCACAAAATTGGTTTGCTTGCTAACCGATTTCATTTATACTGGTGATTGTATTCCAGCGCTCTCAAATGTCATTGTCATTGGGACATGATAAGGCATGTCACCATTGCTAACATTAATAAGTTTGACTGTCATGTAAGCGGAATAGGTCAACTTTCGCCTATCCATGCTGTGTATAATTGATTCACGCGATCATTGATCGGAATAACTATACATATAACGTGAATGTGTTTATGAATGGTCTATCAGAGTGCTTGGTATCTATATGGTTACACCACAGAATTGAACTGTACTATTCAGATAGTAGCGTTAAAACCTATAGGATGTCTGCTTCTCCTGTGAAGTGAAGTTGAGCTGTACTGTTTATATTGTCAAATGAAATTCTAGATGGTGTCTGGTTCTCTTGAAAATCAATATAAAATTACCCTGACCCATAAGAGTATATTACATAATTTGTAGTGTCTGTCATTATGTTAAGCCCAAATACCTTATTATTCTAACTTCCGGACAGCCCATTCTATTCATTCTATTTGAGTCACATTCTAACCTTGTTAATTATTCGCTTATCAATATCTTGACTGTCTTTGTATGAGCGCGTAGGCGTATGCACACTTCTTATCCCGTTACTCATCACATGTCTGTAATTTATCTTGATGTGCTTATAAATATTGATTAACTCTTTGTTAAATGGGAGAGTTGGCTTACCAGCCATCTCCACCGCTCGTCAATTTTGCTTCGCTTTCTTCTTTTCGCGTCGTTCCTCCGTTCGTTCTGTCTAATCAACAATTATACAAAATATATATGCATTCAAAACTCCATTATCGTTATTTGACTTATTTAATTCCATTATTAACTAACGCGATTTAATTCAATGATTATATACGAGGATAGACGATAGCAACCAATCATTACGATCAAATTGGAGTCAGATTACGGGCCACTAAAATGGTGATCCCACCACCACAAGCAAACACAACAGGCTACTAAAATGGTGATCCCGTCACCACAAGCAAACACAACAGGCTACTAAAATGGTGATCCCACCACCACAAGCAAACACAATAGGCTACTAAAATGGTGATCCCACCACCACAAGCAAACACAACAGGCTACTAAAAATTATATAACTATGACTTCTACTATGAGTTTTAGACCTAATCTCTTAAACTATGATTCAATTACAATTAATTTAATAATAGAAAAACAAATTATAAATAATTATATTAAAATGATTATCTAATAAAGTAAATACTTTTGTAATTATTATTTTATATTAAAGTACTTGATTCAAGTCATAGGATACTTTATGATTATTTCTATAAGTCAACTTATAGAAGTACAATTTCGAATAAAAGTACATTTTAATGTTCTTAATAAAAGTAAAAAAAACAAAAAAAAGTATGACAAAGTGATGATTCAATTTATATAAACTTCACTTGTAGCTCTTCTAGAGTTACTGTCAATCTCAAGATTAAATCAAACAAATGGATTGAATATATCAGTGAATGACTTTATTTATAAGCAAAGATAGATAGTGGTTAATTATGGAACTAAGTTTGATGCGCATTTCATCTTATTTGGAACTCGTCAACTGGATGTACTTATATTTCAGAATTGATGTTCACTCTGAGACTAGAACCTAGTACCGTTCGATTCAAATGTCATCATGTTATCCACTTAGTTATTGAGTCCTGATAGTCACTTGCTTGTACGATGGGGTGAAGTTTAATTCATTTGATATTGTTTTATTTGAATCTTCTCATTAATGTTTAGGATTGCAATTGATCAGTCTCTCATATTGGCATATGTGCATACTGTGTGTATTGCCTCGATATTGCCTTAATTTACAAGCATTATAAGCAAAGATGGATAGTGGCTAGCAGTGGAATCTAGTTTGACGCGCGTTTCGTCCTATTTGGGACTCGTCAGCTGGATGTATCTGCATCTCAGAGTTGATGTTCACTCTGGAACTCGAACTCAGCATCATTCGCTTCAAACGCCATCGCGTTATCTATCCACTCAGCTACTGAGTCCTGATAGCCACTTGCTTATGCAATCGGGTGAAGTTTAATTCACTTGGTATTGTTTTACTTGAATCTTCTTATTGATGTTTAGGACTGCACTTGATCAATCTCTTATTGGCATATATACATTTAGTTAAATATAATTTCATGAATGTTAACTTTACAGAACAGTCTAGTGTCCTTATTGATCCTTTGTTCATCTAGTCCTACCAGTTGAGTCCAGAACACTAATAACAGTTTCCACTATACGAATCATTATATTTCAAACATACTTGCTTTATATACAAATCAAACAGATAACATCATACCATAAAATGGGAAATAACATTTATACAAGATCAGGCCAAAATGTAGCTATGAAGGTGGGAGACTGTAATCAATAGACTGAACATAACTTAAGAATAATAAGTCGTATAATAGTGGTCTATACATCAAAATGAAGCTCATAATAAGAGAAATGTGAAAATACACAAATTAGTTGCTGAATAGTTATACAACAGGAATATATTGTATAATATTACCCCATTAATAGATCTCAGAAGTTATCCGTAAATTTAATGTTTACTAGGATATAACAATTTCAGGAAATCAATATGACATTTATTGATTTTAACATTTAACTCTGAGGATATCACTGAAGAATTAACTAATAAACAGTTATTGATTTTTCAGTGTATATTAAATTTTCATATTTTTTCATTGTTTACCTTGATTCAATGACAATCATCAATATGATGTTATAATAGTTAGTTGATTTGATCTCATTTATTATTATCATGGATTTAGTTATAATTTGTGACCACACAATCAGAAGTAGTGACTTATCGATCAAATCAATGACGTGTAAAACCCGCGCGAGCAGTCTAGAGTCTTTATTGGCCCTACTTCCTGTCTAGCCCAGTCAGTTTGAGTCCAAAACACCAATCTCAGCCTCTGTAATATGAATCTCTTCTTTTAAACACATACTAGGTTTATATACCAACTACACAAATCACACTATACCATAAAATAGGAAACAACATTTATACAAGATTTAGCCAAAAGTGGCTATAAGTGTGGGAGATAGTAATTAATCGATAGGGCATAATTCAAGAATGGTAAATCGTATTATAATAGTTCATAGGTCAATATAAAGCTCATCATAAAGAGGAACATGAATACGAACAGTTTAGTTATTGAACAATTATATGATATAGATGTACGTATAGTATTAGTCCATAAATGGATCCCAAAAGTTACCATTGATTATGTTTATCAGGACCTAACAAATTTTCAGTGCTAAACTCAAATATTTTGAACGAATTATAAGTAGGTTTCTAAGCTGAATTTATAAAAATAAACATTCTTGCTATGATAAATAAATAATATATTTGTAATATCCCAACAGCCTTTTATGGGAGAGAACCAATCAGCTTCCAGCTGAAGAGGAAATTAGGAAAAGACGATGGAAATGGATAGGACATACATTGAGGAAATCATCAAACTGCATTACGAGACAAGCGCTAACTTGGAATCCTGAAGGGAAGCGGAAAAGAGGAAGGCCAAAGAACACATTACGTCGGTAAATAGAAGCAGATATGAAAAAGATGAATAAGAACTGGAAAGAGCTTGAAAGGATTGCTCAGGACAGGGTTGGATGGCGAATGCTGGTAAGCGGCCTATGCTCCTTCACGAGGAGTAACAGGCGTAAGTAAGTAAGTAAGTAAGTAATATTCCAATGAGTAGATAATTAGATTTTCTCACGTTTCGTGACTTAGTGTAAGTCACTTCTTCAGAGAATTTATTCAGAGAGTTTATCATAACTCTTTAGTGTGTTAGGAAGTCAAAAGAATCAACGTAATTATCTTTGAACACATGAAATCTGATTAAAAAATAAACTAGTTCAAATTGTTAATAGTTGAATTCACCACTGAAAACCTGAATGCACTGGACGACCATTTCATCCAAGAAGCCATAACCAGTGGAGTCTATTCTATATCTCCTTTAGACAATGGATGAATGATTACGCATGATTATGGATCGATTAAAGTTAAACAGTAACACTGTTTTTTTTTTGCCAACTTAGTAGTTTAGAGGTTATGCGTTCACGTGTAGGACTGAAGGTTTTCAGTTCAAGTCATGAGTTCTGGATTGTGGAATGTATTGCTGAGAAGTCCCATACTAGAATGAAAAGGGTCATCTATTGTTTTCAGGTTTTTAATAGTAGTAATCTAGCTTATATCAACTTATAAATTCAACTATTAAAATCACTATAATCTTCACAAACTCCCATCATGAAAAAAACAAATCAAACTAAATTTGATCATCCATTTATTATAAATTTACCTTCAATACATCTGTCAACAGACTATCTCTTCCTTTTATTCCTATAGATGTAGATATTTGATAAGGGTTAGATATATCTCTACCATCTATTTTATTAACTTCTGATGGTATTTGAGGTAGTTGACGTTTGTAATATTTAAGATTTCGATTAAAATGAGAATTTCCATTGATTGGTTGAACATCTGGTAAACATGCAGTCCACATAGTCTTGATAAAAGAAAAGTATTCATAAAACATATATAACAATAAAGTACAATTTATGATGTATTACACTGAAAATATGATATCATATTCTCAAAAACGGTTGAATGATAAGTCTCAAATAGGACAAAACTGGATTTCACTGCTAACCACTATCCATATTTGCATATAATGCTTCTAAATTGAGGCAATACACACATTATACACATATACCAATAAGAGACTGATCAATTGCAATCCTAAACATCAATGAGAAGATTCAAACAAACAATACCAAGGTTGTATAATAACAGTTTGACTGTTATAGAGATTTTAATAATTCACTAGTTGAATTCCCTGTAAGTACTGGATGGCCGTTTTGTCCTAGTATGGTGCTCCTCAGCAGTACATATCCACGGTACCGCTATCAGGATTCCAACCCTAGAACCTAATGGTCTGACGAGTGAACGCTTTAGACCAATGAGTAAGTATCCAAAGGTGATAACTTTCATAAAAATCCAATAATTTAGTTCCAGGATCAATAATATACTTTGTCTATCGTCAGAAATCTAAATAATTTGTTTGTTATCAGTTTTGTTTTTGTTTCTTCTTTTTCATGTCAAAATTTCAAATATAATGGAAGATAAATAGCCAATTCACTTGGTGTTGTTTATTTTACTTGTATCTTCCAATTGTTATGTAGGATTGCAATTGATCAGTTTCATGTTGACATATATGCATCCTGTGCAGATTACCTCAATATAGCCTTAAGTTACAAGCATTTTAAACAAAGATGAATAGTAGCTAGCAGTGGTATCCAGGATGTGCAACACTTCGTCCTGTTTGAGACTCGTCAGCTGGATGTACCTGTGAACAGTACTGGATCCCAGCCCTGGAGTGAACATCAACCCTGAGATGCAGGTGCATCCAGCTGATGAGTCCTAAATGGGACGAAACGCGCGTCATACTGGATTCCACTGTTAGTTACTATCCATCTTTGCTTATAAATAGCTAATGTTTAATGAATTGTGAGAAGATTAACATTTGATATTCTTTGAAAGAGAATTAATAACAAGAGAATTATCCAAATCCATATCTTTCTATCTAACTTTCATTTATCGTAATAGAGATGTTTCAATTATTATATTTCATAAACATTATATATATATATATATATACAACAATATGTAAAGAAATTATTGATTTATACCTTTGGTAAATCAAGTAATTCTTCTAAATCCTTATTAATTGTACCATTAGAATATCCACTTGTACTTCCACTTTTATTCATCAATTTATTCATCATTAAATTTCTTGGTATACTAGTATAAACTGTAAAATCTGATGGGTCAATTGTTTTCCTATGATTTATTGATCTATGTTCTTCTAAATTAGGATAATAATTTGGTCTAAGAATAGCTGCAGCAATTGATGGTGCTGGACTAGGTGTTTCACTTCTTATTGTTGTAAATAGATCTTGTTCTCCGTCTTCTTCTTCTTCTTCTACTTCTTCATCATCATCATCTACATCTTCTACTTCTACGACTTCTTCTTCTTCTTCTATTTCAGATCTATTATCTCTTCCATTTATATTATCACATAGAGTAATTAAATTAGTTAAATTCTTTTCTTTATTATTTACATTATAAAGTTCATTGATAAGATTGATAGATTTTGATTGATTATATTTATTTGATTTAGATAATGGTGAAATAAGATGAATGGATTCTTGTATATAAGGAATAGTTGAAAAGTCTGTTGATTTACATAATGCAGAATTGGATCCATGTGGTAATGTTGATATAGGACTTATAAAAAGATGATATTGGTAAGAAAATAACAAAATTTAAATGTAGGTATATATATATATATATCTAATAAAACACCATAGTAATCATTTCATTTAAAAGTTCTCCCAGATAAACCATCCCTTACTAACTCCGTTAACCAAGTTAAAACATGAATAAACAAAGAATTTCCTCTTCAATTTATTAGGAACTTTATCAATTAAGGAGAAGCTAGCGACAAAATGTACCAGAATATATTTTTAGTACTACTAATAATCTAATTATTATTAAGAACTAAGTATGGTTGAAGGTAGTCAATAAGAAACACTGGATCCGGGTTTCATGCTATTTGGAACTCGTCTCAACATAATGCACTCAGTGTCGAGTCACCTAGACTAATAGCTACATTGCAACTTGATCGATAGCATTCGATCTTCACTAAGAAGGATTAGACACATATGACATTCATCACTACCCAGTGGATCAATCAATTGTGATTATGAAAATAATTTTACAACATTTTTATCTACTCATAAGTAGTTTAAATAAATAAAGTGAATTGTGATATTGAATCACATAATACAGTCCCTATACTATAAATTCATCGACAGAATTCGATTTGCAATACGATCAATAAAACATGGGAACAGGTAATATTTGAAGATCGATTGATATAAACATCTTAATCATACAGGAAGTCTGTAGTGATTATAATATTTCAATGATAACATCGTGGGCTTTGATGATGATTAACATAGATTAAAATTCATAAATTATCTTTAGTAATCACGAAGAAACAACCAAGAAATGTTGAATTATCCTGTTAGGATCTATGACTTTTATTAGGTCAAGTAGAATGAATTTGAACAAAATCTTGTTCCATTTAAATACTAAAGTTGTATGTGTGAAATGAGCTATTATTTCTGATTATGATATAATCTCTTTGGTAATACTGTGGTGTGTGCTACTTATATCGACATAAGTAGCATAAGACGTTAGTCAGGAATAGAATGTCTGGCAGTAGAGAGATAAGAGGATCGAACAGTACAGAATGGAAACGTAATTTAATTTGCATGAACATGCAAGAACAATGAAATCTGAGTCATTTTGAGACAATTGATGGTCATTTTGCAAATTGAGCATTTACTATATGATTGTTCGATTTTATTAATATGTCCTGCAATAGTGTATCATGTTATAACTCTACAAATCCATTGAATCAGCCAAATTAATGACAACAATATGAAACCCCAGTTATATACGATTACATTGAATTGATACTTTAATCTCTAAAGGAAGGGAACAAATATTAATGTATTAATAGTTGAGATCATGAGTCAATTGAAGCTAGACCACCATGAAAAACCCAGAAGCACTGGATGGCCGTTTCGTCTTATGACGGGAGTCCTCAGCAGTGCTCATCCACGACCCCGCCTCGTGAGATTCGAAATCAGGAACTATCGTTCTCGCGTGGGAACGCTTAACCTCTAGACCACTGAGTTAGCCTGCATCCAATAGTGTTAATGTCTAACTTGGAAGAATTCGCGAAATCGCGCACCGTTCACCATTATCTTCAATGCGTTACTATCTCAGACCTGGTTGAACTCCCTTGGTCACTAGTTTTTACTAGGACTCCAGGAGATACCTCTTGAAGCCAGTCACTAGTGAGCATATGCTGTCAGCTTCATTGTATCATCTTTAATTTCATAGTTAATAAACTTTTATGACTAGTAAAGGAATTATTAGTTTTATAAACATTATATCTTTTGCCTTTAATAACTAATTGCATATCTTGTAGGTGTTATTCTTCTACTATCAGTGATGATTAACAACACGAGCTGGAACAAATGCTAATTTAACTTTCTATAAGAAATACTGAAACTCTGCCTGTAGTACTTCCAGAGTTACTGCCGGTTCCAAGTCAAATTAAAGGAGAAGGGTTGGGGATATATAATTTAAATGAAAAATAGACGAGACTCTAGTTTATGGACGAGCCAATCAGAAGCGTTTTAGAGATTCCAAGGTTAAGGCACCAAATTCAGTGCTTAATGTTAACGTACGATCGGTTCACATGGAATTTTTTAGAAAACATTATAATTCAGCGGCTATAACAATAAAACGGCGAGATTATTATGTGTGGATGAATCTGTCAGGTAAAAGACAACAGATCTGTGATTTTAACATGAAAGCCTTTCATCCATTTGGCCAAATAAATTTCTGGCATTATAGGTGGTGTCAATTCGTAATGAGAACCTTTATATATAATTCTTAACTAAGGCAAATTATGACAATTATTGGAAACTGGATAATAAAAGCACCAATAACACTGGCTTCAGCCAGGTAATACAATATATACGGATGATTGGATAGCGTATGGACTCCTATACAATCTTGGTTATGTGATTTGTGTCGTTATTCACAAGTAGCATTTTCTGCACTCAGTAACTGGAGTGCACACAAACAATATGGAAGCTTTGTGATCGAGGTTGAAAGAGTTTTTGCAACCTTATCATGGCTCCAGAAACCAACGATCTTGTAGTCGTATGGATGATTTCTTTTATAGCATGTATAACAATTTTAAAACCTCTAAAACCTCTTTCTCAACTTGACAAGTTTTTGAATCATATAAAAGAAGTGTATTCATCACTTGATTTCTCAAGGTTCATTTAAGATTCATTCAAAGGTTGTTGATCAATTAGAGTCTCACCGATAAAAAAAATAATAATTCAATATAATAATATCATTCATTATTTACCGATTTTTCACATTATTTCTATCCATATAATTAGTATTATTCCAATCAGCTGTTTTTATAGAATATTGTTTCTGTGGTATATTATTATTAATCATATATCGATTTTCAATTCTTTTATTTTGATCAATAGAATAATAGTGATCATTCATTGTATTATACTTTCCTATATTAATAGCCTGTTAATAAAATAAATAAAAAAACGAAAAAAAATTTTTTTTTAATCAATAAAACATTGTAACAACAAAAGTTCTCGTCTCCATGTGGCAATTTTTCGTCTGAAGGTTTAATTATGAGCGCCTCAGTGGCTGTCCCAGTGAAGAAGCCTAAGTTGTCAAAGCCTAAAGTGCCGTCCAGTCACCCGCCAGTAATCCACATGATTACAGCGGCAATTTTGGCGGTTAAAGATCGTAAGGGCAGCTTATTCGCTACTATCAAGAAGTACATAGCCGTGAATTACAAGTTTGATGTTGAAAAGCAGGCAGCCCACATTCACCGTGCTATAGTACATGGTGTTGAGAAAGATGCTTTTATACGAGTTGGGAAAAACAACAAAAGTTGAATCAATTACTCTTTTTTTTTAATAAGCAACAATGGATGGTGACTAGTACTTGGGATCTATTGTTGTCATTTTGGAGTCAATTAGAAGGGCTAAACAAACAAAGGATCAATAAAGACGTTAAGCTGTTCATATCAGTTGAATGTCATTCGTGTCGCACAGTATTAAGATTGACTAAGTTGTATTTCGATTGGTGAATAAATCGTGTGATAACTAACCGGGCTTATTACATTCTTCAGTATTCAGAAAGTGAATTAGAGTGTTCTTTATTATTTAAAGTAGACAACTATAGGTTATCAAGAGATTTATTCTCTCGGAATAAGATGATGGTTGGTATTTCTAACGTTCTTTTTCGTTACGCCGGGAAATGGAAATAGACATGAGAAAAAAGAACAAGAATTGGATGAAACTAGAAAAGAAGACCCAGGAAAGAATGGGTTGAAGAATGCTGGTCGATGGCTTATACTCCATTAAGAGTAACAGGTGTAAGTAAGTAAGTAAGTAATTAAATAATTTCTAACAGGTTTCTATTGGACTAAAGCATACAAACTTTAGTATGGTTGTTATATTTATAATCACCATGAAAGTTTGTGAAGAATATTGAATAACATTGAGATCGTAAATCAGAATGTATTCATGTTATCAGTTCAGTTATATTCATAGAGGCTTATAAAAAACATGATGCTTGGAGGCATAAATATGATATATGAATATTTTAGGATACAAGAAATAACCAATGATATTCAAATATCCTATGTATTTATCTTCAGAATTGAGTACTTTGAAAAAAAAGAAGATTTGTTTCCTACAGTATTACTTTATCATTGTTTAAATACATCATTGGATTAGTCAGTTAGTCAGTCAGCTATACCATAGGATCAGGCACATATTTGCATCGGTCCAACTGGCCATACCTCGTTAGAACAACAAGACGAACAGCGGATTCATAGAAGTGGTTAAGTCAATAGTGGTAATATATTAAAGAATGATTGTGTATAAGGATATAGTACGGAAAGAAAGAATTAGTCGGTTGAAAGAAAGAGATGAAGCGATTTTAATCTCATAGTTTAAGAGAAGACAGAGAGTGTATACACCTGCGCCATTGTGATCGATTCTGAATCATGTCACCAACAGAGCTTCCAACCATTGGTTACGATAGTTACACGAATCTAAACCAATTAGTCTGTATCTACCACCAACATGTCTTAGACCAGAAGTTAGAAGGCACAATGTCTTCAAGAACATATATTATATTATTTACTACTAATGATCTTATCTGATCATTGAAGTGTCAAGTTTCAGAAATCTATTTTGGTTTCTTCATGAAGAACCTATATCTTTTACACTATCATAACATAGAGTTGACCAAATTAATAATAATAACACCTCAAAAAAAAAAAAAAGAAAAGATTAATCAATAATCAATAATCAATAAAAATAATAACTCAATACTAAAGATAATACATACATTTCCATTGATTATTTGATTAAAATTTTCAATTCTATCTTTATCACTAAAATCTTTATCTTCATGATTATCTTGATTAATTGTTGACAGCATTATTTTTTGTGTTGTAGAATTTAAATAATCAGGAATTAATAATTTCGATGTTTGATTTAATGGTATATGATGATTATTTGATATTATTGATAAATTTTTATTGGTTGATTCTAATGATATTTTATATGATTGTGATAATTTTTCACGTTCATTACATTGTGATATTTCTGAATGACGTCTTGAACTACCAACTCGATGGATAACATTTTTTACTGAATCTAATAAACTATGATGCTATATAAAAGTATGAAAAAAGATAATGAATAGAATAATTTGAAAATTAAACAATATATAATAGTTTATATAAAAAGATAAATATAAGTATAAAGTTGTTGGAATCATAAAACGATTGATGTTAGATCATAATTGAATAGCTGAAAGCATTAAATCAGTGGAGTTAATCCATGTTGTGTAGAGACAGGTATCTACGTCAGTACAATGGAAGATGGTCGCTTAATTTCATGGATTGATTAAAGTTAGATATTAAAACTGTTGGATGCCAGTTAGCTCAATAGTTTAGTGAGCCCTAGATTTGAATTTTGCGAAGAGAGATCGTGGATACGCACTGCTGAGGAGTCCCCTAATAAGATGAAACAGTCATTCACTGTTTTCAGATTTAATAGTGTAAAACATCTGATAAATTAGGTTTTCTATTCTTTTGTTTTACGGTTATTGACTTTACATCTATCAATGGTGAATATCAACATTATATGTAAATTATTTACTAAAATGTGAGATTTTTACAGTCAAACAATGAGGATAAAACCGCAACAACATCATTGAATAGCTTTCATGATCAAAGAAAACAACAACAACAACAACAACCAATCACTGGATTTTGACTGATTTGATTATATAGTTGAATTCATGAGTCAATTGAATCTAGACCACCATAAAAAACCCAGAAACACTGAATAGCCGTTTCGTCCTAATATTGGACTTTTCAGCAGAGTGAATTTACGATCTCACCTGAGGGATTTAGTTCATTAACCTGAAAAGTTATATTATCATAATAATTGAAGAATAAATGATCAGTTAGCATTATTAGTATAACTTACATTAATGAAATTTATTCAGAAATCAGTTGGTTTAAATAATTGAATACTTGACGAGACTATAATTTATGAATGAACCAATCAGGTATGAGATAACAGGTACTCGGATTTTGGCGCGTTATTCATTCATTCATTCACTCGGGTAAATAGAGTTTTAGCATTATAGTTGATATTAGTTCGTGATGAAAACTCCCCAAATCTAATTCTTAATCTTAATCATTACCTGTATATCATAATTCAAATTCCTCACCCTAATTTATAACCCTCGTTTGGTACTGGTTATTAGGTGTACAGTGTCAAGATCAGCCTAGAGTGTTCTAAATAGACGTATTGAAACTAATTAGTGATTTTCATTTTATAACATACTCTTTTTTGATAGACGATGAAAGCATTCGGTGAGATTGTAATTTATGGACGACCTTTGAACGATGCTAGAATGACCTTGAGAGTGTTCACCTACTAATAACTAGAACTAAATGAGGGTTATAAATTAGGGTGAGGAATTTGAATTATGATATACAGTTAATGATTAAGATTAAGAATTAGATTTGGGGAGTTTTCATCACGAACTAATATCAACTATAATGCCAAGACGCTATTTAGCCAAATGAATGAATGAATGAATAACGCGCCAAAATCCGAGTACCTGTTATCTTATACCTGATTAGTTCATTCATAAATTATAGTCATATCAGAGTTTCTTTAAAGAAATAAACAAATTTGAAAATAAAATAAACATTTCAGATATATATATATATATATATATATATATATATATATTAATACTAACCGTATCACCATCACCTAGGCTACCAGAACTTCCACGTTTACTTGTTTCTTCAGATGGAGGTAATAAAATATTCATTGAAGTATTTTGTGTTTCAAGAGAACTAGTTGTAGGTTTTCCAAAACTCTATTAAAGAAAATTAATTATATATCATTATAAGATAACAAACTAATCAACTTATCTTATATTCCTTCTTTTTCTTTAATGTAAGATACTAACAATAATAATATCAATGACTTAGTGACTAGTAAATAAAATGTTGTCCAGAGTATTATTCAATATGGAATATAATTATGTTTTATCTATTTCAGTAATGTCTTTTATGATTTCAATAGTTAAGTTCATGAATCAATTGAAGATAGAACAGCATGGAAAACCTGGAAACACTGGATGGTCGTTTCGTCCTATTGTGGGACTTCTCAGCAGTGTGAATCTACAAACTCGCCTCGCGAGATTCGAACATATGCTTACTAGTGACTGGCTTCAAGAGATATTTCATGAAGTTCTAGTGAGAAGCCGTTACCAGCGGAGTTCAACCGGGTCTGTTGTGAGGCAGTAATTCACTGATGACAATGGTGGATGTGTTGTTCAATTTCATAAGTTAGTAGAAGTTAAACATTAACATCGTTGGATGTCGACCGGTTCAGTGGTCTAGTGGTTGACAAGTCCTGAGTTCGAATATCGCGAGGCGGGATCATGGATACGTACTGCTGAGTAGTTCTACATAATGACGAAACGGCCGTCCAGTACTTATAGGTTTTCTATGGTGGTCTAACCTCACTATTCACTCCCAACATATAAACGATCATATCTTTTCTTTCCATCTTTATTTGATTCATTTCATTACGTTCTAATGAATTGAGTAGTTCACGGATGTCGGGTAAGCAAGTCATCATTTACGTGTATGATGATATTAATAAAGTAATTATGACTGAGTAGTGAATAATCAATTTGTGTTACATAACTTCTTCGTTAACTAGAAGTTATAAATAGATAGCTTTTTATAATTTTAAGTAAGTCGAAATTGCAAAATATTAGACAATTCAATGAATAAAATCTGATTGAATTCAATTTGGAATGGTTTGTTGCCTCAGATGGATGTAACAAAATATTCTTCAGAGTAATTTGTTTCAAGAAGAATACTTGTTAGTTTTCTAAGATAAAAGTATATCCAATTGATAAGTCTCAAACATGACGAAGAGCACCTCGTAGAATCCGAAGCCAGCTATATTTCATTTATTAAATCTCATACCTTTTGTACAAGTAATTAATTATCTGTATTCAGTAGCTAACTGGATAGCGTGATAGAATTAAAAAGTACCGGTATCAAGTCTTAGAGTGAACATCAACTGACAGATACCAAACAGGATGAAACTCACGTTTTAGATTCGATTGTTAGGCACAATTCATCTTTGCTTATTAATAGTTACTGAATAGTTTCTTAAGATCAAAACTAAGATAGTCATATATTCGAATAATCTAAAAACGTTTAACCTAATAGTATAATAGCAACAGCCTTTTGTGGGAGAGAACCAACCAGCTTCCAGCTGAAGAGGAAATTAGGAAAAGACGATTGAAATGGATAGGACATACATTGAAGAAATCATCAAACTGCATTACGAGACAAGCGCTAACTTGGAATCCTGAAGGGAAGTGGAAAAGAGGAAGGCCAAAGAACACATTACGTCGGGAAATAGAAGCAGATATGAAAAAGATGAATAAGAACTGCAAAGAGCTTGAAAGGATTGCCCAGGACAGGGTTGGATGGAGAATGCTGGTGAGCGGCCTATGCTCCTTCACGAGGAGTAACAGGCGTAAGTAAGTAAGTAAGTAAGTAAGTAAGTAATAGTATAATGTAAAGAAACTAACTAGAACATATGTAATTAGTGTGTTTGTAAACTATTGTAAGAATCTAGTTACTGTTTAATACATAACAATATACATGTTTTAAAGAAATCAAGTTTTATTTGTTCTTAACAACTCATCAGGACAAACTTACTTTGAATGGCATAATCGAATGTCTTTTCCCCTTAAAAAAAAAACAATGATTAAAAAGAAAACATTATAATAGATGTTTTACAAACTTAACTTATTAGTAATAAATAAGGAAAATTATGTAATTGAATCATGTTTTAGTAATATTAATCAGTAAGTATACTTTAAGATAATTGTGTATGAGATTATGAAACAATATCAGTATAGGGTTGTGACGATTACTATGTTTTTGATTGAAATCATGAACCGATTGATGTTAGACCACCATGGAAAACCTGGAAGCACTGGACGGCCCTTTCGTCTTATTGTGGGACTCTTCAGCAGTAACCATTCACGATCCCAGATCACAGGAAGATGGTCGCGTAATTTCGCGAGTTTGTTGAGGTTAAACATTAACACCGTTGGATGACGGCCAATTCAGTGGTCTAGAGGTTAAGCGTCCGTGCGCGAAACTGAAGGCACTGGGTTCGAATCATGCGAGCGGGATCATGAATCCACATTGCTGAAGAGTCCCATATTAGGATGAAACGGCCGTCCAGTGATTCTAGGTTTTCCATGGTGGTCTAACTTTAATCGATTCATGAATTCGACTATTAAATTACTATAATATCTATAAAAACCCTTCTCTGATTAAGACCGCACAATGATCAAAAATAATTTACCGGTTACAATTTGATAGATAATTGTTCACTTGACAGGTATGATAGAAAATGAATAGTACAGAAAGATCATCACAACTTCTGATGATTTTAGTTTATGCAAGAAACTGAAGGTCGTGAGTTCGATTACTGGATGTACATTCGTAGATGATCATTGTAGAGGAGTTGCATACCCGAATGAAATAGTCGTCTAGTGCATTCAGGGCTTTTGATGATAGTTTAACTTGGAACAATTCACAATTTTAATCCAATATAAATAGTTCCTATATTACTCGTATTGAATATCATTCAATTATCATGATAATTCAGTTTTTTATTTTCTATCATATTTGTCTTAACAGTTGTCTACGCAAAATACTTCGGATCCATTGACCGAACACTACTAGTAACAATCTACTGTGGGAGAGAACAAATCAGATCCCAGTGGAGGAGGAAATCAGGAAGAAGCACTGGAAGTGGATAGGACATACATTGAGGAAAGCACCGAACTGCGTCACAAGACAAGCCCTCACATGGAATCCTAAAGGTTGAAGGAGGAGAGGAAGACCAAAGAACACATTACGCCTGAGAAATGGAGATCGACATGAAAAAAATGAACAAGAACTGGATGGAAATAGAAAAGAAGGCCCAGGACAGAGTGGGTTGGAGAATGCTGGTCAGCGGCCTATGCTCCATTGGGAGTAACAGGCGTAAGTAAGTAAGTAGTCATATTTGTCAAGTGAACAATTATCTAACATAATTCTAACAGCTGAATTATATCCATCCTTCTATTCTTCTTTAACTCTTTGATCATTATTCAATCAGCTTCAGATACTTCAAAAACCTAATCGAAAAGAAAACGTTTTCTTCCTTAAATTCTCTTCATTTTTTTACTTGTGATTTCATCTTAAATGAGGTAAATCATATAGAAACGAATGTTATATAATGTGTATAAAACTACTGATATTGTACTACTTTAATCAATCAAGTAATTCAAGTAGTACTGTGGTATGTGTTACTTATGTAGACATAAGTAGTATATGATGTTAGTCGTAAACAGAATGTTTGGCAGCACAGAGACAAGAAGATCGAACAGTAAAGAATGAAGACAGACTGCAATTTGTATGAACATGCAAGAACAAAGGAAGTCTGAGTCATTTTGAGACAATTGATGGACGTTTTACAAATTAAGCATTTTTTTGTATGATTGTTAGATTTTGTTAACAACTTCTGTAATTTGTTGTCAAACACATTCGGTTGTTCCCCACTTGTGTTCTATTTAATACGGTATTACATAACACTTGAAAACTGTAACATGAAATGACGAAACCTATGAAGGTGAATAGTAACCAATCAAGATTTGTGATAGATTCTGATTTAAGCGTTATAGTTAGTTTATCTTGGGATGAATATGAACAAACTAGATTGATCCCTTGTTCAATCGAGAATATTCACAAAAAGGAGAAGATAGTTATATAATGAATCAGAATCATATACACCATATCATCAAGGTAGTAACTGAAAGTTTTCTTGATAATTATCTAACTAATTGAACATAATTAACATTTTGAATTACTCTTATTTCCATTAGACCAGTATTTGTTTGAAATAAATACTTCTCCTATAGCTCTTCTAGAGTTACTGCCCATATAAAGTGTGGGTACAAGAGGAGGGTTGAGTGTAGGGTCAACAACTTCATACTGTAAACAAAAACAAGACGACCAGTTTAAACAAAGTAAGTATTTTCAATGATTAAGATCAGTTGAAGCTAGACCACTATGGAAAACTTGGAAGCACTGGACGTCCGTTTTGTCCTATTATGATCTTAATCATTGAAATTACTACAATCTCCACAATCCCCCTTCTGACAAAGTAAGTATTTGTTTGTCGTAACGTAATTCAATTCATTTTATCCAAGACATTACCCTTTACTATTTAATTAAATAACTCCTGAATTGATAAGTCAAAACTGTAAAGAAAACACTATTGTCAGTCAGTCAGCTACCAATTAGAGGTAAGCCCTTCGGTTTTAAACTTAGATAAATAACATTTCTTATTACCATTCAACACTTTTATATATGAAATAAGTGTTATTCCTGATCTATAAGAATGAGTCAATCAATTCAGTCAATCAGCTTCAACGTAGGACTAGGCACATGTATGCATTGGTCCAAGTTGCCACACCTTATTAGCACAACAAGATTGATACACCAGATTCATAGGAGTAATTAAGTCAACGATGGTAATATATCGAAGATAGATTGCATATAACGATATAGTACAGGAAGAACGAATTAGTTGGTAGAAAAAAAGATATCAAACGATGTTGATCTCATAGTTTAAGGGAAGACAGAAACTGTATACACCTACGTACACCACTGTGATCGATTCTGAGTCCTGTCAAACAGAGTCTCCAAACATTGATTACAATAATCACGCAAACCACAACCAAGTAGTCTGCATCTACCAACATGACTCAGACAAGAAGTTAGTGATTTTAAGCACTGATGCCACGTTTTGCTTTGGCCACCCCTAACTTTCTTTCATCCATCTCCAACATTGGTCAACATTGCGCGTCGTAGTAATCGATGTTCCTGCATACGTAACACGTGGTCCAACCATCTCAGCCAATGAAGCTTTCCAACCTTATCAATTGATTTACCATCATCATTCCTTAATATCTTCCGTCGAACCTCTTTATTACTTACCCGATGATCTCAGTAGATGCCAGAAATATTTCCAAGGCATCTATGGTCAAATATGAGTCTAGTAAATGATTATTCAATAAAGTAAATCAAAAAATTAGTAACTAAGTGTATATCTTATTACTTGTCCATGTAATAAAGCTTTTTGTTCTTCAGCTTTCTTTTGTTTCCATCTACGAAACCATTCTTGTATTAAAAAAGTTGCATAAAATTTACCAACTGTTACATCATTATTTCCTATATTAATTGAATAAATACAAATAAAAAAGAAAAGATAAATGAATGATTATAAATATAGATTCGTTGATAAGGTGTAATAACAACACTATTATGGATTATATCGAAATATATAACTATTTCAGAGTTAATATTTACTATGGGACTCGAACCCAGTACCGTTCACTTCAAACACTATCACATTATCCACTTAATTACTGAATTCTGATACTCACTTACTTATGCAATGAAATGAAGTTTAAATTCACTTGATGTTACTTTACTTAAATCTTCATATTGTTATTTAGGATTCAATAGTTAAATGGATAACATGATAGCATTTCAAGTGAACGGTATTGGGTTAAGTGTCTCAAAGTGAACATCAACTCTAAGATAAAGATACATCCAACTAATGATTTTCTAAATAGGACGTTGTATAATGCATCCTGAGTTATTGTAATGTTAAACTATGATAAGATAATAGTTTGTTTCGTTTAAAATTCTAATTGATATTAATAATAAATACTAATAGAATATAAGTAGACTATTTGAATCTATTTTATAGGGTTATACATTAGTGAGTAGTATAAATCATGAAAGAAAAAACAAACTATGAGATAGAATTGATCAGCTAGTTACTTTTATTGATCTGACAACATGGAAATGTTGTTCAACTAAAAATGTCAACTAAAAATACATCATTACAAATGAGTTTTATTGAAAATTAAAAACTGAGGATCCAGTTAGTAAGTAAGTGGGATATTTTTTTTTTTAAATGTATATAGGGAAAAATTAAGTTTCTAAATTGTTAAGGAAGAATGATAGTGAAGATTCTTAAGGTTAAATAGACTATTGGATGAATCAATCTGATATAATCGAAATGGAACTAAATGAATTGAGGAGATGGACTATTAAGTTAATCTTGTTTATCTAGATAAAAGTGTTTAGGGTATATGAAGAACTATATGTAACCAATGGCTGAAGACGTTTGATGACATGGCTCAGAATCGATCACAATGGTGGAGGTGTACACCACTCTCTATCTTTCCTTAAACTATGAGATTAAAATCAATTTATATCATTCTTTGGACCAACTAATTCTTTATTCCTGTACTATATCGTTATATGTAATCATTCTTTTATACATTGCCACGATGGATGTGGTAACTTGGACCGATGCAGATATATGCCTGGTTCTACGTTGTAGCTGACTGACCGACTGACATGTTCTGTAGATACTGAATACGGATATCTAATCACACAGAATAAGAAAGATCATTGTATCCATACATTTTGAGATATGTATAAAACTTTATTATATAGTCTTGCAAAATTCAAGTGCTTTAACTTGCTAACGGCTGGTATGACACATGACACATGAATCACCTGATGACAACACATCGTTATCATCGCATTTTATGTACGTAGAGATATTTCATATAGTGAGAAAGGGTTAGTCAACCATAAAAGTGATATTCACCTCAAGATCCTTTGACATCATATCGGAAAAGCTGTAGAAACAGCAATAATACCTACCGGTAACCTAAAACAAAAGTCAAGAAAAATCAGTGGATTTCATTGGTGTCGACTGAAGTGACAGACGATTGGGAGTTTATCCCATCTAGCTGTCAATACGATGTGGAAAGGAGGTAATTAAAACACAGACTGATAATAAGCCAATGCAATGATCGTTAGCTGTGATGGGTAGTGAAAACAGAAGAGATGGAAAAGGCAGCAGCGATAGGTAACTGTAGACAACTGTTCAAACTTATCAAAGAAATAAGTATTAAAAAGGCAGTTGTTGATGTGACTATCCAGGAAAGAGATAGAACTGTTATTCACTCTTAATCCAGGAGATTGGACAGATGTGCAAAACACTTTGAAGAACAACTCAACAGGTCTTCAGACACAGTTAAGTTATCCCATATGAATGGCGAATTGATTAAATTTCTCCAAGCCTTAGTGACGGTGGAAAGGCTTTAGGTAATCTTAAGCAAGAGTGGATGCAAGAGAGCCTCATGGATTAACTTTAAAGGTTTATAAGTATGGTGGCACATTTTTACCAGCTATATTAACTGAAATCTTGGCTAGAATCTGGGAACTCGACGAAATCCCATTTGATTTGTTTGGATTTCTGATCGTCCTAGTCTATAATAAAAAACAAAACCCCTTATGTGATGCTTATAAAGGATTCGGTTTAACTAGTATATTGTCTTCAAAATTAGCCTCAACAATACTTTGACATCTAATTGAAGCTCGTAAAGATCGAACCCGAAAAAACCTGGCCATTTACACACTTGAACGTGGATGTATAGATAAAATATTCAACTTTCATGATGTTTTAGAACATAAGTATACTTTTTGATGTCCGATAGAAATTGTAGTTCTTGACCTTAAGGTATCGTTAGACTCTTTTGGTTATGAGATCCTGGGGAAGTTTCTGTCATTGAAATTCGTACCGATGAAGTGAATTGACACTATACGGGCTTTCTACTCGAACACTATTGATCGAGAGAAAGCTTATGGTGAACTGTTATCGGAGTTCATGGCTTCAAGCAGTGTTCGTCAATTTGATCCACCTTCCCTGTTATTATTTAACTTTCTCATAAACATGCTTTCTCAGATAACGCTTTCATCGTCGGACTTTTAGGGATTGATCTTCTACCAGGAGATTTACTTGTTGATTTGGAATATTCAAACGATATAGTTCTATTTTGTGGAGTAGCAGACAAAACGCAGTCTCCTAAGCATCTAAAGCAACAATCCAAAAATGTTTGAAATGCGGTTCACTCCCTCCAAATTCAAAATGTTGCATCAAGATTAGTCTGCATCGGGGCCCGAATCAGTGATAGGGAGTAGAGTCATTTGAGCATGTCAAGCACTTCACTTATCTTAGAGTCTCATCAGTCCAAATGACCTGTTGTCTGATGGAATCTCACCACAGATTAAAAACGCTCGATAGGTTTTCCCCACATTCCATCACTTGTGGCGTAGACAATGTTTCTGTATGGCAACCAAAGAACAAGATTACTGCAAAGAAGTTTGCTTTATTCTGTTCTGTGCTTGCGAAATATGGCTATTAAGAATAGAGAGTATTCTTAGGTTATAAGCATTTGTTCATAGGTGCTTTCCAAGCGTAAATCGTATATTTTCGGACCACTCATTAAGCAATGTTTGGGATGGAAAATCGAATGATGAGGCTGTGAACCTTTAACAACTGAAATAGGGCGTTCAAAACAAAACGTGACATCGGTGTATGAAGCCGTTGGTAGTTGGACTGTGTTATCTTAACAGGTGTAGGCTACATGCTTGGGCTCCGTGTGACTACCGTAACCAGTAGTTAGGGGCTTTAAATATCATCGCTCAAAACCGTTTTCATAAGCACAGTTAAGTCCGTTTTTGTCTTCCTCTAGATTCTAAGCTTTCTAATTCCTCAAAATGTTTTCTTACTTTACTAAATTATATGTCTGAATCATATCTTCAATCCATATTTTTCTTATTAACACCAACACTATTATTATCTGTACCACTCTAGGTTTCGCTTTAACAGTTCTATCGTACTATGTGCTGATGAAATATAGTGGTTTGAATCGTTGTACATATGTACCAGGTTCTACATTACGAGTGACTGACTGACTATTATAACTTTAAAAAATTTCCTAAGTAACTGTTCAACCTTTAAGAGATACACTATTCTAATCAGTTATATTTCCAATTACCACTTTTCAGTAACAATACGTGAGTGTATGCGGTAGTCAATAATGCTTGAAGATTGTGAGAATGAACAACCCATTTTTCTGCCTTAGAAAATAAAAATATAGTGAGACCATAAACTATAAACCTTCATTATTGCAGACTGATAACCAAAGGTCTATCGTATTGTCATATGTAAATTTGTATGTTCATGTGAGGAATGTTATGCATTTCGTCTAAATTCTTGATAATTTACAAAGTTAGTCAGTCAGCTGCAACGTAGGACCAGGCACGTATATGCATCGGTCTAAGTTGCGATACCGCATTAGCACAACAAGATGAACACCGGATTTATAGAAGTAGTTAATTCAGTGGTGGTAATATATAAAAGACAGAATGCATATAACGATATTGTACAGGAAGAAAGAATTAGTTGGTCAAAAGAATGATATGAATCGATTTTAATCTCATAGTTTAAGGAAAGACAGAGTTTGTACACACCGATGCCATTGTGATCGATTCTGAGCCATGTCATCCATGGTCTCCAACTATTGGTTACGATAGTTGCGCGGACCCCAACCAAGTAGTCTGCATGTACCAACATGGCTCAGACAAGAAGTTAGTGACTTCTTGGACTGATGCCACGTCTTGGTTTGGCCGCTCTTAACATTCTTTCATCCGTCTTCAACACTAGTCAACATTGTGCGTCGTGGTCGATGAAGATTTACAACCTCATTAATTGATTTGCCACCATTCCTTAATATCTGTTTTATACCAGGGAAATTGAAATTTTAGAAAAAGAGAAAGACATAAAATAAGTGTAATTTTGTTTTCAACATTGTCATTCCCATATAAATGGGACTGAAACTTGATCAGATATTTCTTATAATTGATAAACTACACTTAAGTAATATCAAAAAAAATTGTACTATCTCAACAAGGCTTAGATAGACCTATTATAACAATTCAAACTTATCAGTATAGGGGTTGTAGAGATTATTAATTTTTTGATTGAGATCATGAACTGATTGATGTTAGACACTAACACCATTGGATGCCGGCTCAGTGGTCCAGTATGTTAAGCGTTCGCCTACGAGACTGAAGGCCATGGGTTCGAATCTGGCGAGGAGAGATCGTGGATACGCACTGTTAAGGAATCCCTTACTAGGAAGAAACAGCAATCCAGTGCTTCTAGGTTTCCAACGGCGATCTAACACCAATCTGTTTATGATCTCAATCAAAGATTCAAACTTACGATATATTTGCAACAAAATTTTGATCTAGATATTATACTACTGATATTTATAACATCAAATTCTCATTTGTCC